CTCCACAGTAAGATTCTGTTTTCCCATTGTTAGAAACTCCATTATTACTTTATTTTTATTGGCCCAAGTCAATTTTGTCTTGTGAGCCTTCAATACTATTTTTTTCATTGGAACAGAAGGCAAACCTATCTCTTATTTGGAAAGTATTTTTTAATTTTTATTGGGAAATATGATTTTGTAGCCTCAACAGGCTCAGGCAACTTAAATGACAATGAATTAGTGCTGAAAACACATTTATTCCCACAAATATAAACTTTTGTGGTACCATATTCTGGAGTTAAATATTTATTTTATGTACAGCCCTTCAACAGTAAAGTATATAAAAACCCTTTTGTTCAGAAAATCACAATCCTAATTTGTATAGGTTGAACCAGCCCCTATGATGTACCATTTACTCCCCTACCCTCCCCTCCCTTACCACCCCTTCTAGTCCTGTTTCAACTTGTATCTTTTATCAGAGAAATACCCACCAAACAAAGTACCCCGTGGTTCGAGGAATGACACCTCAAAAACAACAGAGGCTTTTAAACAAGTGTCCTGAGATAATAGTAGCCACCCCGGGAAGACTGTGGGATTTGATTTCTGAGGTAGGTACCTCATGTATCATAAGTTGTACTGATTCACTTTCTTTTAGAGATCTGAAACATTTGACACACACTTGTACATGTGGGTATGTTTCTCATGAGATTGGTTGTCCTGTGTAGTTTTCAGCATAAAATTGGATTGCCATTATGTCGCATAAGTTTTTCCGTGCATAAAACGCCGTAAAAAATAATAAGGACAGCTATTTTCCACTGCTATGTAAACATCAGAACTGGGCGTTTTTTTTTTCCATATACCCAACGGTGAAATTGGAATGTAGCCTCTTTCTATCAAATGGATGATTCTAAGAGATATCTGCTGGCGGCGTTTAATTTCAGGGTGAAGAGCATGTCTGCCGTTTGGAGCACTTGAGATGTCTTGTGATTGACGAGGCAGACAGAATGGTGGAGCAAGGCCACTTTCAAGAATTATCTTCAATATTGGAGCTCATTCATAGAAAGAGGTACATACCACATCTACATTAGCGTATTTTCAATGGACTTCAATTTCCATTGGAGCTTGAATTTCTTTCAAGCTTCTCTTTCCGAAATGGTTTTCATGACTGTCAACCAGTAAACTGAGGTAAATGACTCTCTTTTTATCAAATTTTAACTTTAATGTTTCCTTTTCGCAGTGATAATGATGAAGATGAGGGAACTGCAAAGCGAAGACGTCTACAGAAGTTTATTAAATCTCTGCAACTTAAACTCTTGCAAAGTCGTTTAATAGGAAAGGAAAAGAAAAGAAAGTCACAAGTGAAGAAGGCTTAGGTAAATCACGGCATATTTGACTCAGAGTAATAGAAGCTAGAGATAGTATCAACGTATTTTATCAGCTATTGCTTAAGGAATGAAATATTTGCTATTCCTGAATTATTTCTCTGTGTTTGTTAACAGCTTTACATTCACTGCAGTGGACGGACAGCTAGAGCAACCAGGGAGGGTCCGAGTGTCGTTCTTGTTGGCCCAGAAGAAATGGGATCATACAAGAAAATTATGAAGGCGCTTAATGGAGGTGATGTGTCTTTATTATGTCCAAAGTATCTCTTTAACAGTCAAACTCTAAGAGGTTATTTGCAAATCCCCCTTTAAGGTAAAGTAAAGCCTTTATACAGGCCCAAGTGGCCCATGGGGCTGGCGCTTAACTCTGGTTTCCTTTAGCATGAAGCGGCTAGGAGTATTGCTACTCCCCCTGGATGGGATGCCAGTCCATTGCAGGGTTACCCCCTGCATATTTGCTGGTACCCATTTGTACACCTGAGTGAAGAGAAGCTCTGTGAGAGTAAAGTGTCTTGCCTAAGAACACAACACAATGACCCCGGCCAGGGTTCAAACCCGGACCACTCGATCCGGAGTCGAGCGCACTAACCATGAGGCCACCTTTAGGGTGCCATAGTCTAAATCTCCTTTTTAGTTAGATACAACTTTATGCCTTAACGTTAGTATGCAAACAATTCTCCATGCATACTGTTCTCTATATATTTCTTAAGGTGTTGACATGGAGATTTCGTGTAACAATCAAGAGGTTCTTTAGTTGGTGATCATTTCCTCTATTCTCGTGACTTGAAAGGGAACCTTCAGTGTTAAATCAAATACTGCTAAAAAGGCTCTAAATGGATCAAACTCAAGATATTTGGTACTTAAAATCATACCTCTAACCTTGATAATTTTTTTCGGCCTTCAAAACTGGCCTTCACGGCAACTTCGAACTACCCGCGTTCTCCATCTTTTTAGGTGCGCAAGGCATTTTGGGTTGATGACATGTAATGGTTGCTCCGTTCTTTCGTAGTTGGGGTTATCTTGGGGTTTTCCCCAAGCAAAATGGCTAATTGCGAAGCGTTCGAGTGCTCCAGTCCAGTAAAAACCAAGCAGGATCCCAAGCTTCGCTTTTTTAGCTTGCCAAAATAGAACAGTTATTGACGTGCAGGATTCATGCCATTGGACGGACATTTCTTCCAAAAGATTTGCGTGTGCGTTCGGAGCATTTCGAGGACCATTGCCTCCATAGATGATATCTAATGCGAGTACGGATAGCTTTGTTAACAGGAGAATGATTGGATACCCATTTGATAACAAGGTTAGGGGATAATTTTAAGTACCCAATATCTTGTATTTGATACATTTATAGCCTTTTGAGAAATATTTACATGGGTGTGACAGTCGTTAGGAGAAGTTGGAGGCTGGTCACTCTTATGTATCACAGGGTTAAGAAAATTTGTCATCGCACGAAGATGAAACCCCTCTAGTTGATAAATATTTCTTTTAGCTGCAACAAATATTTTAGGAGGAAAAGGTACATCGTAATCGTCTCTAGGAGTTTACTGAGCCCGACCACAATTTAACCCTTTACACCCTTAAAATTAATTTGCATTTTCTCCACACCATTTTCCATGAATTTTCTTTCGAACTAATAAGGAGAATTTGTTTAACAATCAAGAGTTTCTTTAGATGGTCGTTCCCTTTATTCTCGTGACCTTTATGTTTGATTCAGGAGTGATGCTGTGAGAAGAAACTAGATGCCAGTCATTAATAAGGGTTTAAGGGTTAACTTACAGTCTCTCGTATCGTTCGTCTGTTTGTTTCATATTTTTGTTCATATTTGTTTTCTTGATTTTATTCTTTCTCAAATTTTGTGTTGCAGGAAACGAGCTAGACTCCTTTCCAGTTGATGTGTCTTTTATGTCCTCCATTAGGAAAAGAATTTCTCTCGCCAAGCAAATTGACAAAGAAGAACACAAGTAGGTGAAGATGAAAAAGACGAAAACAATAACAGAGAAATATGGCATTTATCTTTTGGGTAGCCCTTGGGTTTTTTTTGTTGTTGTTGTTGTTGTTGTTGTTTGTTTTTTCGCGTAAGAAAAAGGCCCAATTTGACAGTCGAACTTGACAGCTCAGCATTTAGTGCATAAAGAATTGTTCACGCAGTTACCGATCTTCTCTCCTTCATTCTCAATTCCTTCCAACCCTCCCCTCCCTTTCCCTTTGTCTAAACTCCCCTTCTTATGAAAGCCATCGAACCATATTCACAGGTTTAGGCGCAAAAAGTCAAGTAATGACTGGATACTTACCTCTGCCAAAGCCATGGACATTGAAGTTGACAAAGATTTGTATCTTTTTTGATGAGATGATTCGTTCATTTAGATGCAAATTCTCGATCATTACGCTCCTGTGGGCGATCACACGGTCTGGGACTAACTAGACTAGTAGCTTCAACATCAGTCTTAGGCGGAACTGGTGTCTTGGAACTTTACTGTCTCGAAGGTTTGATGTCACATTTTATAAACTGTCCTGTTCAGTTTATTTTCCTTAAAAGAGTTTTTTACAGACTGGAAGATCTCGGAGATCAGGGAGAAAGGAAAGAGCGACAAGTAAAGCTGAAGCAATTGAAAGGTAATCAACCTTTAGTTAAGGCAGACAATGGTTGTACTGACAGTCCCACCAAAAATAATGGATCTTGCAGGCTGATAATATCCTAGTGCAATAAAAATAGGTTACATTTGGCTTGCAGTAGTAGGGTGGGGTGAGGATTATTGTTCCCATGGTTCTTACGTTTGAGTTCTATGTGAAAGTATGAAAAGGTAGTAAACAGTCTTGATTTCCAGCCTTATGTGGGTTAGCGTTAGCTTAGGCTGTGTCAAGTGCTCCTTTCATTTATTGGTGAAATTTTTATACAAACTATATCAGTGCCGTTTTACTTTACAGCGGAACTTACTGGTTTGCCAAAGACACCTCTGATTCCTGCTGGTTTTAGTGGAAAGTACCCGACTAAAACTGGATCCCTTATAATGCCAGGGATCAAAGGTATTAAGTGAATAGAGAAACAAGAGTATTTTGAGGGACAAAATGATGTGTTGCTAAACACATCGTTTTGTGATCTTTACTGAGAGTATTATTAGTGATTTAACAGAGCTAGTGTCAACTGAGGCTCCTTTTGTTTTGTTTTGTTTGTTTGTTTGTTTGTTTGTCTTTTATATTCTCTTTTCCTGCTGCCATCCGCTGGTTTTATGGTCCGTATGTTTTTTTTTTAATGAGATAACTGCTTTTTGCCTTTCCTATTCATGTGCCAATTGTTTAAATGTTCGTTTTATTTCGGTATTCACAGCCGACACGAATTTGGAAGATAATGAAAAAGTGGCTGTTGAAGATGTAAGAAGAAAGAAAAGAAACAAGAAAAGCAAAACGTAACTTGCATTCTTCAAACGAGGTCGACAACTGATCGTGAAAGAAGAAGGGAGATTGAAAACACGAAATGGAGAAAGATTCTTACTTGTAACAACTGGACTGGAAGAGAAAGAGTTGATTTGAGCAAGGTTGACTAGTCAGTGGTAGAATAAACTAAAATCTCGTCTTAAAGTCTTTGACCCCGATGCTATATGAATACAATGTAACTTGAAGCAATGGCGTTCATACATCTTCGGGACACCACCCTTCAGACTCGCGGTATAATACGACTGGACAAAGCAACTAGTCACAGTCTGACAACACATGTCCACTTTGCGCATTTTCTTGATTTGTGATTTGAATTGATTTACAGATGTTTTGTTCTTTACTCAGTGGCCCGAATTTAAAAGTTTGGATTGTTTCAGTCACATATTGCCGTTGGTCATATGAAGGTTTCAAGAATGGGTCGGAAAGGAACTGAAAACGCTGTTTTAAAGGGAAATCATTTTTCACATGCTTGACAAATGTTGTCCACAAACCTTTCGCTAGTTCATATCTATAAAAAAAATTTTAAAAAAATATGTAGATGCGTAGTAAGCAGGAGATTCAGTAAAAGCCAGTCTACCGCCGTTTGTTGAGCAGGGTCTCGTGTTTAGGTTTCACCTTACGCCTTTTCTGGCACATTCGCTTATTACATCATCGGCAGCTACTTAAATGTATTGAGACCCCAGAATGTGAGAGAAATCGTTGGAAGGCTGTACGAAGATTTTAATATTAAGAGGGCCAAACTACACGTAGGTGTGCATGGCGTTACTTGAGGAGACGTGAAGAATAACCCTTTTCCAATAAATAAGTCATTTGCTGAGAAATCACTCTAAGACTCGTTCACACTAAACTTCCCTTGAATCTTTGCCGTTTAGTTTATGTGTGAATGTTGTTTTGGTATCAATGCTATGAGAATATGTTACTATGTAAGTGTACCACTCCACACCCGGGTGAAATTTGCGATTTGACGTGAATACGCGCAGGGCTTAGTCGTATGTGAAATCTGATGACCCGATTCTACCTTGTCTTTCTCGGTCCTGATGACCGATCAACATCCCAAACTGTAACCCAAGACTGGTGTGGTTAGGTGGCTTGATTTGTGATCTTAATTCCATTAGGACAAACTAATCCACAAAGCACCAGTTTTAACTTATGGCTCGGTCTACACTGTACGCTTTTATGAGCTGTGACGCTGTGCAGCATTGCCTTCCTTCTTTACGAGTTATTTCATTTCGAACGCAATTTGCATTGTCATGGTAAAGTGAATCTTTGTTTTCTTTTGTTTTGTTTCTTTTGAAGGCTCTACTTCCTCCACTCTGTCGAGTGCGGGCCAGATCTCAATTCCCAGACAGATGCCGGGTATCGCTAAGGTTTTTTATGACATGTTTGACAAACGGCATCCGAAATGAAAAGAAAAGTGCGAAAATGAGAGGCAACTAGATCTCTACACAATTCTTCATTTTAACACTTGCACATCAAGGCGGTAAAAATCTACATTTTCTATGATAATGATTATATTTTATATTATTATATGTATTACACCATTATGCGAGCCAAATGCTGCATGGAGACAAAACCTTTGATTTAGTGGATCACGTTCTGCAGAGTCGTAATCCATCGATCTGAATTCAATTAATTTGGCCTGCTGGTCACTGGACTTGTAATGAGCTTGCAAATGTTACAACTTGAATATAATAAAACCTATGAAGAGTTAACAATAATCCTCACACAGAACTTGTAAACTGGTAATGTTCTCTTACTTGGAAAATCGGGTCTCTGATAGGCAGTCTAGTTACACTTCTTACGCTCTCATTATTCTTGCTAGCAAATGAGATTCTCGATAATGGATAAGTTATCATTCTCTTAAATGCGGCACGGAATTTCTTCTTAAGGTATATCAGGAGCCACGGGTTAACAACACTGTTTGCATGTCCACACCAATAGCATAACAGCATAAAATAATATGGCAGCGATTCCCGCACACTAAAGTCAATGGCCAAAATCATATGATACGCATGCGCTGGAAGCCAGCAAAGTGCAAAGGCAACAACGACAGCGATCGACATATGAATAACTTGACGCTTGGTAGCATGGGCCCGAGTTCTTGCGTGATTGTTGATGGCAATGCCCGGCAGTTTGTACTTGTGCAGTGTGTGACAGACGTGTCCATAGAGAATGCACATGGTAACTAGGGGCAACAAGTAGATGGTGACTACGATATAAAGAAAGATACCTCTCAAAGCTGCTTGAGTCTCGCCAAACTGAGTAAACTTAAATTCTATCCTGGAGTTCTTAACTTTGACTGTGATCAGCCATGGAGTCATCAGACACATTGAGGTGATCCAAATTGTGGGAACCAAGATCTTTTGTTCCTAAAGCGAGGGAACTTTTGCATGGGAAGGACAATCCCAAAGAAGAAGTCAAAAGCCACGGCTGTTAGAGAGAAGACGGACGCTGTGACCGCCACGAAGAAAACAAACATGATGAGCTTGGCAAGTAATTCACCAAATGTTCCATCGATCCACAGATTATCCAAAATGATTAGTTCCATCGACTGAGGCATGACAACAGCTGTTACGAGTAGGTCAGCCACAGCGAGGTTGACGTACATGAAGCTTGTTAATCTTCTTGTTTCTGGCCTCTTGTACAGAATATAGATCACCAAAATGTTTCCAACTAAGGCCATTGAAATGATTGCAGCGTATAAGATGGCGAAGGTGAGTTTAATACTTGATGGATACGAGAATGGAGGCTGCGCCGTGGAGCCTGAAAGACAATGAAGTACCATGGTTAAAGCAAAAACAAAGGAAATAGGTCTGCAACGCGCGCGTCCACCGAAAGGCGACACAGATGGTGACAATATGCAGTAATAATTATTGGAAAACATCCATTAAACCCAAAGCTTTCTCCATCATTGAAGAATGAATCAATCATGTCACAAGAGGATATGCAATTGATAGAAGGAAAATGTCAAAGCTGTTTGTGCTTTGCGTTTTTCACAAGTACTGCAGCAGCAACAATAGTAGCGTTAGCTATTTTTAGGACACTTTCAGGCGCTATTTGTGAAGGTGGTTTTCCTACCGTTATCAGCCTGCGAGGACGTCAACATTTTTGGATCTGCAGCTTCCTAGTCTCTGCTGTTTGAAGAAGTCAGCATAAAATATCTGAATACTTGGTTGACGGGATAGGCTCAGCTCTAAAAAAGCTGAGTCTTTATTTCACTCAACGTTGCGTTCTTTGAATATTGGGTCTGCCAGGAAAAAAAGTGAATTTCAGGTTATCATTGTCAAAATTACAAAAATCTAGATGCTTACCACAAACGGCGCAGTTCAGCTAGCCTGCTTAACAGCCTCTTTCAGTTGATTTTTGTTTGTTTTTTGTATTTGTTTTTGTCTTGTTTTGTTTTTGTTGTTTTTATTGGTCAAAAATATGCTGCACATCTTTTCAGAACTAAAATTGTGTCAATCAGTTATTTCGATAATGAGGGAAAAACCTGAGATCCGAGATAAAAATACCAGCAATCGTGTGATACTGAAAGAAAAGTGGGCAAGTTTCGATTTCAAGACGTCAAGTCGAGGAATTTTTTGCTCGTCATTTGCAGTAGGTGTCAAACTTCGTCTTTTTTAATCATCGTAAACCAATTTTTGGATATTCTTATCATATTTTAAAGATATTCTCTCTCCCTAAAAATAAATGATAGATAAAACAATCAAAAAAGTAAGAAAACTGTTTTTTAAAAAGACAAACCCACCCCCAGGAGAGCTTCCATCTTTGTTTACGATTTTTAGCATAATAGAAAAGAATCGACACGTGGCGTTATGCTCTGGTAAGGATAAATAATGAGGCATGTTTTGCTTGAAGTTACCATGAATTGGCTAAGGCCAACTAAAAAAAATTCCAGGTTCCTGTGTTTGTTTTGTCAAGGAACAACGCTTTGTGTGAAAGATTGCAAGATGCACCTGTACATTGTCCGTCAAGTTTTTTTTCTTGTTTGTTTAACCTTGATCCTGACAACTCGTTAGACCTCGTTTCCCTTTCAAAAAGGTCTGGAATCAATATTACTGAGTGATGAGTAATAGTCTTCGAAAGCGTTTGCAAGACGTTTATACTCGCCTTTTCCCCATTCCAAATTATCGAATGATGGAAGCGCCAATTTTGTGTCAACCTTTTTTTTTTCGTCATCTAAGTTATTTTTAAAGATGATTTCGGTGGATTTATCGCATAACGATAGAAAAAGATGATGAAAAACACCTGGACAGTAAAAGTCATAAAAAATAAATCAAATTATCAAATAAAACAAAAGTGCTTTATCTTTCCTTGTGCTATTGAGAACCCGGTTTGACGTTGTGATATTCGTTCCTACAAGGGAGAACTAAGATTGAATAAAGAAAAAATGGGAAAGTGGTTTTCTACCTTCAAAGATATCTTGATTCAATTATAATCCCGTAGATGCAAGAGTTCGGATTCCAAGTTTACATCTCGAGGGTCCTTTCGGCTGCTAACATGGCTTAAGCATGATCACTTAATTACAACGACGTTTGCCCGTAGGGGCTTTATTTTAGCCGTGTAGAGCAAAGTGTCCATCGAGGCAAATCATGGTTCGTTCCGTCGTCTCTTTGTTACGAGTATTTGTTTTTCATCTCATTAGGAGGCCAATTTACTTTTATTTATGGCGGGAAATTAAGTTCCTCATGAAGCGTGTTAACAAACTCGAGGCAGTTAATATTCGAAGTTAGAGTAAAAGACGATTTTTAGGAGAAGAGAAAGTTGATGTACCGCAATGTACACTGGGATTCAGAAAAGAGCGAGACCATGTCCTTTGTTGTTGTTATGCAAAAATAGGGACCTGGTTGGGAGTGTGTAACACATACTTAGTGCTATTTCACTTGAGTTTTGAGCCCTGGTCACGTCAAATTTTGTTGTTGTTACTGTTTTTTTTTCCTTTTATCGTTTTTTCCCATTCAATTTACATTCTTCTTCAAAGGATATTTTAGATGTGCTCAGAGTAAAACGCATACGTAGCGACGTAGCTCTTACATTCAAATCGATAGCAGGTCGAAATACAGAGGTGATACCCAGAACAAACAGTCTGCCATTTTGAAAACCGTGGGGGGCTTGGGGAAAGGTTTATAGACTTACCGACACCACAATGTGATGAGTACAGCCTTGCTGGAAGGAATGCACAATAGGCACAAAAACGCAAGTGAAGCAAATAATTTTCATGAAAGTTATGTATATTTTATATACACTAGGTATATGTTTGAGTTTCATACTTGTAAGTTCCAGAACGCATTTTGGGATTCGACCGAGTAAAAATTTGTAGATTGGGTTTGCTTCTATAAATATTAGGGACCTTACGATCCGACAACGGCGACGGCGACGTGGGATTTTTTTTTTGACGTTGTGCGAAAACGTGGAATTAAAACCCAACCATGGCAAAGGAATCAAGGTAAAAACGAGACTTTGCGACTCAATTTAAAGAATACTAGTTTGTTTGAAATATCCGAAACGAACAGAGCGTGGAGTCTTTTGTATACGACCACAAACTGAATGGAGAGAGATTTGACTTATTTTGCTTTGTATTTGTTTGTGATTGTACTTCACTCGCTATCACTGAGCTTTCTTATCACTTACTTTCCAACTTTTTCTCGATCAAAAAAAAGAGAACAATTAAGCTTAATTTTATTTTGGGTTTACTAGGAAATAGTAGAGAGATTTTGTCGACAGCGGTACTAGATTCGACCGATGCAAAGTGTATAAATACTTTCATTGAGCTAATTTTCATTTATAATCGTAGATTAACCTTATTTTACAAGGAACTCACTGGCTGGGTTGAACAGTTATATCGACGAATTCCGATACCGCAAATATTGTTATATTTATAACTGAATCAAAAACAAATACAAAACAGAGACGTTCACATAATTTCCACTGTTTCCTAATTAAATAAGAATTATTTTACAAAATCCAAACTTTATTGATTGCCCAATATTTTGCTCCAAATGCTACACATTTTTTAGTAATTCATGACTGTTTTCATTTGAAAGCGTCCTTCCAACCTTAATTGTATGTTTCCCTCATTCGGAAGGCAAAGGATAGCCATCATGTATTCTCATGATCATTTCTTTATCTGTCAACAAGTTCAGCTAATTTATTAGAGGACTAAAGAAAACAAAGATATTGTCTAATATTATGATGATCTAGTTAATACCACCCAAAGCAAGTTATGTTATTTGTTTTAAAAATTTTGATCATGATTAGGACCAAGTGCTAGCAAATCTCAGATACAATGATAATTTTATTGTTAGCAAATTTTGCTGATATACTGATAGTTCTTCCTCATGAAGTAATTTTTGTTGCACTGCACTTTCAGTCAATCAATGAAATGGACTGAAGAACACGAATTGCTTATGTTGAGGGAATTGATGCTTTTGCAGCCATGGCTGCACAAGAAAGGAACTAGTGAGAGAGGAGATGATTGGGAGAAGCTGGCAGTATCCTTAAATGCTATTCCTTATCCCCAATTCCGTGTTACTCAACGGTCTGTTCGTGACCACTATTCAACAATGGAAAAGAGAAGAAAAAAAGTCAGGGAAGAAGACAGAGCCTCGGGTATTGCCCCTGAAGAGGACAAGGAACTAGATCAACTGTTAGATGAAACCATTGAACTCTTTGATGAGTCTGACAAAATCACAGATCAAACAAAACAAAAGCAGGAAGAAGAAGCAAAGAAAGCAGAGGAAATGCGGAAGAGATCATTGGAAACTTTTAAAGACAGCGCCAAAAGGAATGCCGATGAACAGTAAGGAGCAAGACCGAAAAAGGGTAGAGCTAGTGGTCCAAGCACTCTGGCTTACCTGAAGGATAGGGCAGAAGTAGAAGCTACTTTAAAACGTGATGAATTGGAGATAAAAAGGCTAGAGTTAGCACTGCAAGCAAAGGAGCAGGAAGGAAGACAACAGCAATTTGATATGATGAACAAGCAAACTAGAGATATTCAGCAGCTTCAGCAGCAGTTTATGCAAATGAATGCAAACATGATGCAACAGCACCAACAACAAACCCTTGCACTTATGGAACTAATGAAAAAGTTTGCTGGGAAGTGATGCTGGTCAATCTCTGCAAGAGGTCATTTAAATGCACAAAGAGTTCACATTTTTATTAACTTGAACATTTTCAAGGAGGTTAAAAATTAAAGATTTATTATAATAATTACTTGTTTACATATATAGTTGTGAAGGAAATGTTGCTTAATTTTGCCAACCTTTGAAAGTCGCCGAATTGATGTTATGCCAGTATCAAAACTGGGGCTGAGCCTTTATCAAGGCAATAGGGCTTATCCAACTATAGAATTGCATTACTCTCTGTAAACTTGCTCACCATTATTTGTTCTCATTTAATAGTTTGTTTTGGTGGCATTTATTTCACTTTAATTCCAATATATTAGCCTTTCTCGATTGCATAATTTTTTTTTATTAAAAAGCAGTTCAATTTTCGAAAGGAAAAGTGTTATGTAACTTTTGTAAAACCTGTTTGGCAGACTTTGTGAAAATAATCCCCAATTTCTGGGGGAAAAACATCAAAGTAGTCTGATGTGGTGGATCCGTAACAACAAACACAAGCATTGTGAAGAAGGGCACATGTCACATACATTTTGCCAACAGCACTTAAACTTATTTTCAAGTTTTTTTTTGAAGTCCAGAAATTTAAAATAATTTATTATATCACCAAAAATCCATTCAACAGAAACTCTGACTTCACTCATAGATTCATTCCATGCAGACTGTATGGGAGTTAGTCCAGCCCCTCGAAAAGGTCCTTGCAGATGTAGTCGAAGAGGATATGCCGGATCTCCATAAATACATAGGGGGTTCCCATTTGTGTCCACTGAAATCGTTGCAATTCGTTTAACACTCCAGATCTAGCTAACAGCTCTAGTCTCTTTCCCTCGACAGGCCCAAACAGGTTGGCAACAAGGCCACTGGGTGCTGCGATAGATTGAAACTTTATAGCATGGACTTTTTTGTGACCATTGTATAAGCACTTTTGGTTTTGTCCTGGTCGGCATATGGGCCTCACAGTACCGTCAACAAACCCCCAACAGTTGTCAAGAGCAGCTCCCCTGTTGTGAACTGCAACGGCAAACTCCTCTAAATGATCGGGTCTTAACCAATCCTGGTTCAAATTAGTGAGAAGTCGGTTCCATGTTTGATACATCTTGTTCATAACAGCATTTAAGATCATACACAATTGTGGTTCTGGCCTTCCAAATCTGGGTATCATGTCTACGTATCTACAGGGATAGGCAAATCTTTTAAGAAAAGTGCACAATGCCTCAACCATGTCGACATTTACACCATTGTAGCAAACGATCCGATCCGGTAAAGTAAACACCTCTGCCAAGTTGTAAATGTCATTCTTGTAAAATCTAAATTCAGTTTTACATTCATCATCGGTCATCTTGTCGAGATCGAAACACTCGTAGTTAGTGTACGGTAAAACCGGATTTTTAGGCTTGTGTAAATCGTAGAGAAGCACGAATTCTTCAGCGTTAATCAAACGGGAAGCATGAGCCAGGAGAATAGTGTCACGGAACTTTGGCATGGCTTTCTAAAAAACTTTCATTGACTTAAACACGATAAACATCAATGACCGTCGTCAACGTTCTCGCTCGTAAAATTCGTAATCTCAATTTTGGCGGGAACGCCAACACGACGTGGCCCCGCTCGACCCAGACTTCTCACGTTGCCGTCGCCGTCGCCGTTGTCGGATCGTAAGGTCCCTATTAAAACGAATTTCCTTCTCTATTTTTCCCCTTTTTTCAGCTTTGTGCCTGTCCACCCTCCTCCCCTCTCCACCCCCCTCCCCTGTCCACCCCCTCCCCTATCCACCCTCCTCCCCTGTCCACCCTCCTCCCCCTCCTCTCCTCCTCAGGTGATTACATTAGTCTCAACCTGTGATAACAGCTGATTTGCATTTTGGTCTCATCTACCCATTAAAATAAACATTTTTGCCTCTCCTTTTCTCTCATTTCCTCACCACGTTACTTAACTACTAGAGGATATTGTTAGCTTACGTACGGAAAGGTGGCATGTTAAGACTAAAAAGATAGTTCAAGGGCACTCGTGCTTGTAGGTCACTGAAATCAGAGTTTACACGGATGAAAAATTATTTTAGGAATTAAACCACTGTATTACAAAAATTGTGAAGAATGGCCGATTACAAGAATCGATCGAGTGACGATAATATCACTGTCATCCCTGACAAAAGACTGCTGCGCCTTTAGGAATTTTAAGTGATGACGCTAAAAGTATGACTCTGTCACAGAATGAGTTCCCATAGTTGATGCGAAAACGTTTCGGCGCATTTAACTCACTACGCGCCGCAACGGCGATGTCTGTCCGTTTTGGATTGCAAATCCGATCAGGTGAAGGGTGTAAGCACTCCTGAGCACTTCAACACAGCTGTCAAATAATATCTAGTTGAAGACGTTTTTTCTAACCTGTTGTTGGTTATATCCTCTGGAGTGCTTGATGTTTTCAAGAGTAGATCATACCCTTTGTGGATTGACCAAGGGTAGTTATGGCTGTAAAAAAAGAAAGCAGTTCTTGTGTGACATGAGATAAAAATTAAAAGTACCTTAGAGCACTCGCAGCTGTTCCTATTGCCTTCGTTGGCAAGTGAAAATCAGTCGTCACATAACATCTGGAACGATTTCGCAAGACCGACAGAAAAAAAAAGATAAAAAAAATAATCTCCTTAAGAGGAAATCCTGTATCGACTTACGGGATCAGGGCACAGTTAAGATGGAGCACTATGACATTGTGCTCTGCATCACAGGAAGTAAATTTCAACAAAACATGAGATCTGATTGGTTGAACTAAAATTAAAATAGACTATCGCGCCCCAGGATCTCTGGAAAACTGAACACAATGGGTGACAAACTACTTTGTAAACAATCATTGTTGTGAGACAGAATGTCGATCCTCGATGGTTCATCAGATCAGTGAGGCTTTAAATACTTGAACTCCGGGTGGTATGTATAGGCGGCCGTCACCGCTAAAAATATAGGCATAATAAATGGTTTGTAATAAACAGAAATGGTCTAATTGTCTTTTGGGGAACGGTTTATCTTATCTTAAGAGATTTATTTAAAATACAAATAGACAAGTCGCCTTGGGTGAAATGAAATATTTAAACAAAAAATGTTTTACACAATTCAGATACTGTGTAGCCACCCTTGTTGAACTGATTCAACAAAAATACGAGTGGCCAAGTGTTAAATGAAACGGTTCATGACAAACGATTCAGCTAATTGTACTTTGGTTAAGTGACTTGACACAAACGGTTCAGAGTAGTGTGAAATGGCTGAAGTTATCGGCAAATGGTTTTTTGAAGCCGCAATGGTTTAGTTCGCATCAATCTGGTCACCGTAAAGTGAAACAGTTTAGCGTAACGACAAATGGTCTTGTACAAACCGAAATGGTGTAGTGTTACAGCAGTTGGTTTACGCTGTAACCGCCAAAAATACAAAAGTGAAATGGACAAGTCAAGCTTGAAATGAAACAGTCTATGTGGGATCTTACGTCACAACCCTACAATTTTTATAGTTTTTAGGCGCCCTTCAGTTGTAGTTTCATCGTCTTAAAACAATGAGTCGCTCTATCACGTTTCCTAGCTAAGGTTCTGACTGTCTAGGCTGTAAATGTGCTGTCGTGTAATATGATGCATTTAAAGTATATTTTTGTCATTCCTTTTGTTTCAGATTCTTATTTTATCTTGAGGTAGTAAAATGGAGAATTCTTACCGTGGTCACGCGTAACCATGGTAAGAATTCTCCATTTAAAGTACAGCAGTTTTCACTATAAACTATATAAAACTATATAGTTTTAACGATGTAGTAAAAGTATATTATTGTGAAATATAAGCTTAAGCTTTCTTTCATTTTCACTAACTGATTATTAAGCTACTGAATGTTCAGCAGCTCGATAAAAACGGTTTCATCCGAAATATCATTTACTTACTGATATTGCGGCAAGATGACGAAGGTTTAAATTTATTTGCTAACAAACTAAAATAGGCAAACATAAAAAGTGATTGTTACCGGAATAAGGCTCGCTAAGTCTTGTAGACGAGGCGACAGAAAGAATTTCTTCCTTTGTTGAACGTCGAGTGGACGAGATCACTGTCGAATAGGTTAGCAACCGTCATGACTCCTCTAATAAATTCATTTTCGATTTGTTAAAGAAAATATCCGGATTATACGTAGGGAACGTCTCTGTCGCCACAGAATGCACTCATCAGTTGAATACCCGCGTGATAGTTGGGTAACAAATGTAAAACATCAAAAAAAGTTAAGAGGCGTTCTCTCATTCGAAATTTCTAGTGAAGTTGGACAGGTAGACTAGCCCTTTCCGTTGCTTGCATGTGAAACCTGATCGTAAAGTGACCTGTCAATAAATATAGAATAAAACTCCTATATTTTGCACTAAGAACCCTCTTTCAAATTTATTCATGAAAAGAGTTATTGAAAATCGCAAAAAGCGTAAGGATGTGTCAATTATGGGGCCAAGACTTTGTTAATTTTGCGTTAAATCCCGACAACGACGGCGTTATTATTGAGAAGCTGAGACGGGGATCATTGCTCGCTGATACTCGCACTCTGTCATAACAGATCTCTTTAGACCACAAAGCCTGTCTCGCATGTCAACGACAGCTGTAAGGTCATCTGTCTTACAATCGTTTTCAAGCGCTTCAACGGCTTAATACCTCTCAGCGGAGATTCTTCTATTCATGAAATATTGAATAATATAAGTTATAATCAAGAAAAATCAAGTATATACAACCAAATAAAGAAAAAGAGAATGGCGATGATAAAAAATATACAGATTCAAAGCGTATGGATAATTGCAATGTCATTAAGTTATTTTTAGCTTTAGAACGGAGCTTGTATTAGTCTAATTAGATAATGCTGTCTTTGCTTTCATTAAAACATATGTTATAATAATTACGACCATCACTTTCACGCAAAATAACGCCGACTCCAAATAAGAAATATAATGAATGACAGCAGCTAAATTGACTCGCATCGCCTACTATTAGAATGGGGTTCCACTAACGTCAAGAGCATGGGGACAAAACAAACCAAGAGAGTAATAAAGAAAGAAAGAAGAGAAGAGAGGACAAAGGAAAGGAAAATAGGGAGAGCCCTGAGAGGAACGAACCTTCTGATCCCCAATTGGGTGTCCTACCAATGGCAATTAGTCACGCCAGGGCGTTTTTGGTGATCAAAGACACAGGTTATTGTGCAGTGAATGATAATAACGATGACAGTAATAATGGTAATGATAATAATAATAATAATAATAATCCTCTTTCAAATTCATGCTCTTCTTGAAAAATATGGTCATCCCATAATTCATCGTAAGTCATCGACCCTGAAATGAATTTTTGTCGTTTGAAAAACGACAGACACGTAATTAATCATATTCCAGATGCTCATAATGACTTTAAAATGTGCCCTTTGAACAAAGTCATGTGCAAGAGGATAGCTCTCAGAAGAAGAGAGTGAAGTGAAGAGAATAAAGGCCTGGCTGGAAGCACAAGAATGTGCCCCCCAGGAGAAGAGAATGAAGACCTGGCTGGAATTGCAAGAGCGTATCCTCCTGGAAGGGGAGAATTGAGGTCTGGCTCGAAGTGTAAGAGTGTACCACGCAGAAGAAGAGAATGAAAACCTCGCTGGAAGTGCAAGAGTGGAACCCCCTGAAAGAAGAGAATAAAGACCTGGCTGGAAGTGCAAGAGTATAGCTTCCAGAAGAGAAGAATGAAGGCCTTGCTGGAAGTGCAAGAGTGTAGCCCTCTTTCACTCTATTGTTACGCTAATATCTCGCACACTTTTTGTATTCTCTTCCACTAGATTTTTTACCTTAATATTCCGCACACTTTTAGGATTCTTTTTTATTGAAATTGCGTTAGATTATCATGCACCCTTGGGATACTCCTTTATTAGAAAGGTGCATTAGTATTTTGTGCATTTTAGGCTTGGCTTACATTCGATTATTACTTTGATATCTCGCGTACCTTTAAGACCCTCTTCCATTGGATTGTTACGTAAGTATCGCTTAAACTTTTAAGGTTTTCTTTCCTTCAATTGTTACGTTGATATCTCGCGCACTTCCAGAATTCTCTTGCATTGGATTTCTATTTTAAGACCCAGCACGCTTTTAGGATTCTTTTTCTTTGGAATTTTAAGCTAAATTCGCACGCACTTTTAGAGCGACTTTTTTAAATTCAAGTCCAGATTGAAATATCTGACTCGAGGTCGTGGGAAATTTCATAAAGCACTTTCTCAATTGGTTAATTAGATCTCTTCCATTATGCAAACCCCGGGGTAAAAAGCCTATACGTTGGGTCTGAGTTGGTAATTAATAAGCTGAGATTTATAGTTGATAAAAAAGTAATATTGAATAGATAAGTAATAATATAAATAATAATAATGATAATAATGGTAATAAACGAAATAACAAAAATTTGTGATTTTCTTCAGCCGGCATAGTATTATATCAGAGGAAAGATAAATCGCGGAGATATATGCCATGGTCAGTCAATCCTTTGTTATTATGATGACAAACTCAAGGTTTCCTTAGACAAACACCCAGTTCTAAACAAACCAGTAAAGCATGCGTCAACGACACGACATCCTATAGTTTCGTCCTCAAGTGTGAAAAGCTCAAAATGTAGATATCTTATTTAGTGATATACATTAAAATGCTATTTTGTAGATGTGCCAATCGCTTCAGCCTGATGACGTCATCCAAAATCTTAATGAGGATACGGAATGTTTTTAATCGTAATTGACTTGGTAATCAATAAATTGTCATAAGATAAGCCTCTAATCTTTTTATTGCAGATATTAAATAGTGTCTTACATTATGTTAGATAAAACTTATTGTGTTTGAATAGTGTACAAAATTAAACGCTCATACGTGCTCTCATTTCGTCCAGTTTTTAAACAAGCATTCCATTTTGCCATAGCAAAATTGTTTCCGTCTTCCACAGCAAGTACCCTTTAAATAGCTTTTTTTTTTCTCTCGTGCGAACCGAAAACACTTAAGAAAATTCTTAATTTGAATTAACTCACACTCTATTAAGACTGTTCTCTCCGTTTATGACAAAAGCATTTGATACTAACAGCAAAACGTTAAATATCAATAACAATGCAATCGCTTGTTTTCAAATAAAGGTAACTTGAAAGTTAAACAAATCACTAGAAGTGATGCAATATGTAATTGAAAGAAGATACTTCGTTAAGGAATACCCCACTGCTAGATAATACTACACGACTAATTCATTACCAAACTACAAAATTTTACCAAATTTCATATCGCCGTTAGGAGATCTCTTAGTAGGTCTGCTACAAACAAATTTACTAGATGGTTTTACAATAAAACAATGAAAGCTCGCCAAGTACAGCTATCGACATAAACGAGCCGTTTTTCAAGTAAATTGTATTTTGTTTCTTCCTTTCTTTCTCTTTTGATTTAATCGATGACGGAAGTTTAATTCATATCTATCCAGTTTCCCTTATTCTGAAACCGATTTAATTATTTATTATTGGCATCCTTTATGAATTAATTGTTTTTTTGTCCTTTAATTATTATTATTTTATTAATCAAGGGCAAAGATTTCGATATTCTTCTACTATTTATTTAGAGAGAAATTTAACTAACACAAACCTACACTTAGTTTAGCACCGAGAAGTGACGATTATGTACCCTAACGACGGTCACTGGCCCATTTTCCCAACCTCTTAGCTGAGGCCTTCTTTCCAACTTCCTCACTTGGTCCTGCATCTTCATCTCCGAGATCTTCAACCCTGGAGTATTTTGCCTTGTCATAAGCACTCATGTTAAGAAGTTCCTCATGTCTTAGGAAGAAGACAACAAATGAGGGCTATACGTTAGCTGCAGAGTGCTAAAATATAGTAAGTGCGATCACCTCCCCAGCGTACTGAAAATCTCTGTAGTTAAAAGTCGCGGACATACTTAGCGCGTTTCTTGTTTTCTCTCTGAAGTTAGGGAAGTTGTGAGTAGGTGGTTAGAACTGAGCAGATCTATGTCCTGGGGACGATCACAACCGACGTAATTACCAGATGGACCGAACAAGTTAAAATGCTCGTAAATTGCCTGACAGGCTGGAAAACGTCCCTTGGCAAAAGTATGAATGGTCTCAGCTCAAGCTTTTATAAAGAGAATGGAAATAAAACCAATGCTAGTAAGTATTGCTTCCAACACATGGGGGCAAGGTAAGAAGTTTGAAAAGTTTTAGATTCTCTAAAATGCACAAATACTGGGAAGTTGTTAATTCCAGAAACCAACCTCTTCACGAATGTATTTGTCCATTCTTTGTGGCAGGTTTTCAAAAGGAGGACGGAAGTCAGGGTTACGATTCCAGCACCTTTTCGTTATATCATATCTGAAATTTTACAATGATGGTCTACTCTTAGCTACTTTTTTATGGGCTATGCGAAGAATACCAATATTGCCCTCCTACAGGAACCTTTACTGAAAATAGTATAGGCAATGGTTCAAGTTTATCCTTTTAATAGAAAATAGTATAGCCAATGGTTTAGGTTTGTCCTTTTATTGAAAATAGTATAGCCAATGGTTCAGGTTCGTTCTGGGACGTAGAACATGTCTGCACTACTTCACCCGCTCTGATGTTTTTCAAATACATTTTGATGTCATAATTGTCCACACCGTATTTCAGCTGAATGCGGTATGCTCCTGGTTCGCATTCAAGCATTTAAAGCAGTTCCTTTACTCTCCATTTCGTCTTCGGACAGTGTTTTTTCGTCAAGCGCAGTTTTGCAGTAATCGTAACAATGTAAGAATTATCGTTTCAAGTTGGCTCAGTGTATTTCTTTCTCATCACCTTTACTTCATCAATTGTTGTAATTTTGTATTCATTTATTATTTTTAAGTTTCAAAAGACAAAGACAAGATGGTTTTCTCTTTACCTTTGTTTCCTTTTACTGATTTCTAGGGAGTTCCAATGAACCATCAGCGCATACTCGACCTTTGACAGCTGTAAGGGTTTCTTTTTCGGCCTACTTTTATACCATCCCAGATAATCATAGCTGGGCTTTTGTGAGGCTTGGCAACCGAATTATTATGAATCTTACTTTCGTGTATTTTGGCCTATTTCGTTGACATCTGCAGTGACCTGCTAAAGTCAACAAAAAGCATCATGGCTAAAAAAAAGTCTTAGAGGTTCATCTTATTCAAAAGCGGTCAAAAATGTTGGCCAAAATCCGAGCTATTGAAAAATGAAAAGTTTAAATCTCTGAAACATTTTTCTGAGTTAGAATTGACACGTGATAAGTATTCCACTTACCCCTCGCGTTCCAAGGAACACCATGCCGGCGGCGATTTGTTTGGCAAACAACACGAGATCGTAGTTGGTCAAATCCTGAGCTCTTCCCTCACCAAGATAATACCGATCCCTCGCTCCTTGGCATTTTATCAAGTAATCAAGTAGGTCACCATATGGCAAGTACTCCATGATGAGTATAAGGTGAACTTAAGTAACGTAAAACAAAGGAAAAAGAGAATAAAACCCATGTCAAGGCTCCCTACTGCATGTAAAAAAAAAAGCATTGCCGATGATCTTTTTTCATAAAGCAGTTTGGCCTACACGAAGGACTCGTTTTTTGGGATCTACCCTTACAAGATTTTATTTTCAAAAATTTGCCATAGGTTAAAGGGAAGAGCCGGATAGCCCCGTTAATGAGATTTCAGGTTATCCGACCGAGACCTTTGTGAACTGTCGATGGATACATGCTCTCGAAGACAAAGACAAAATTCCTTCCGTGAACATCCGTGTTACGGAACTTATATTAAGAGGTCCTAAGAGGGTTCATTCAGCATTCGTAGTATCGTTAATAACATAATATGTTATTAATTATACCTTGAAAAGATGCTGTACGTATATTACTTACTTTGTCTTGTAACGCAGCCCATGAACTTTACAATGTTTGGCGGAACGTTTTCATCTTTTACTGCCATACTAGTTGTTATCCTATTTCTTAGTCCCCCCCAGCTCCTCTTCTTTTTTTTTCGCACGTAACTTTGAGTGAAGAAGAAGGGACAACCCCTTCTCCCCCCCCCCTCCTCTCCCCAAATAAAAAAAATTTTCATTACCGCCCCTGAGATCAACATATGTATCAATAGAACGAATAGAAGGAGGCTTATGCGTGAAATATTTAGCGGCCACTGTCCAATTTCCAGGTTGTCCATTTAGCTAACTCACACAGCTCCGAACGCCCCTCGTCCAATAACGTCTTGAAGCAGGACACGGTTCACCGCTTTTGGTCAGAACTAAATATAGGTAATCAACATTGTATTCTTTCAGGTTCAAAACAAAGAAAAATGATAAGAAGAAAAGAGAAATCAGAAGGAAAAATTGATTTGCCAGGATAACTTGATTGGCGAGATAATCTCTCTTGCCGATAGTGAGAAAACAATGTTTTTACTAAACCAGGAGCATAAATTATTACAAAACATATCAGTAATTATTGTTATTTAAGTACACTTTGTCTACTGGATGAAGTTCAACAATAGCTTCGTCGTTTGCTTCGTGCTGTTCAATCTTTTTTTCAAAGTATTAAATCTACGAATTAATCAAACCGAAAATAGATGGAAGATACTAAAGAGATAAAAAAAATGAAACAAAGGAACTAATGAAGCCGATTCTAACAGCACTTAATGAATGTTAATAATGCATCATAAACACGATAAAAGTAAAGTCACTGCGATATGATTTTTTTATCGTCATCATGCAAGTTGATGACCCATGAGGAGGGTAATGGTGTATTTTTTTTTTTCGATGATTTGATAGTTGCCTTACAGAGCCATAGCTGCAATTCCAAATGATGAATTAAAGGGGACAAAGAAGGTAAAACTTTGTATTAATTTATTAAATCGAATATTCTGATAAAATTTCTGTGTAAAGGCAGCGTAATTCGAAGTTGCACAAATTAGGAGAGACGTGATATTTTCTTAATTTGTAATTATTATCAAAACACCGCAAGCAATAACAGAAATGATAATCATGATGACACCATATACACATGCGAAAACACTCTAAAATTGGCATTTTTTGGCCAAACGCGAGTTATTCTTATAAAATCTCCTTCTTTTACTTTCAGACAAAGAAATCTGAAATAACACAGAAAAATGGACGTCACCTGTCCTTCGACGCTTGCAGAAATACCAGGCAATTGGCGAAATGACAATCGCTGCCGCCACTGTTCCACCAATGTAATACCACAGAGTGTTGAAACTTTGAATAGCACGTGGCACTTGCTTAGCTAATCGTGTGAGATACATAAATGACCATTAGACAAATCTCGACAGTAGCAAAAGTACTAATAAAATTCAAGTTGTTTGGAATAGCTTTGGAATAGCTTGGCACATTCTTTAACCCGTGATTGACACCTGTTCTTAAAAGCTAAATACCTGAAATTTATAGAGCGAGGCAAGGTAATTTCATGCGAATGGTCAGGTGACCCACAGTTGTTTCGTCTTTAACTGGAAAATAGTTTCAATCTACTCAGAAATATACTTTGTAATCAGTAGAGTTTCATGTTTCTTAAGACACAACAGTAACACCAGCTTACCTTTGACGTTTATTTTTAAAGAGGAAAGGGAATAAGAATACACACCACCTCCTTCACAACTTCAGTTATAGCAAGTTTACTTTTTCTGTCATCGAATCGTGTATCAATCTTTGCTCTTTCGGGTGGTGAGTCTTCATCTTTTTTCCAAGTTACATTTATTGTTTCTTCGTTGACGTTGCAGGTCAATGTCAGGTTGTCTCCTGCTGTGAGTGGTGGATACTGATCTGGAACAACTTGAGCAGAAGCTTTTCCTACGTTAAGAAAAAGGAAATTGATTAAAATCCTGGTCCACATTCGTCACCCTCATCGCCATGGTTATCGTCATTTTCATTACACTTACCCTATACACGCAGTGTTGTAGAGGAACTAGTTGTATTTGCTTTATTTTTCGCTTTACACTTGTAAGTCCCTTCCATCCCTTTTGTGACGCTTGAAAATTCCAGGAATGATTCTCCTTCGTGATTGAATTGATTGATACCAGATGGCAGGTCAGCATTATTAAAAACCCAGACTTATGTTGGTGTTGGCACACCTGAAGCTCGGTAACTAAAGTTCACAGAGTTTCCCTCGGTAACAGACTGGTTTATTGGAGGCTCTATAGTCTGGGGAGAGACTTAAATTAAAAAAAAAATCCAAAATTTATAAGGTTTGCATAGTGATGGTCACAAAAAAACGCGATGTTCAAGCCTATTTTTGACCATGGTCAATTTTTTCCAAAGTTTTTCTCCGCGCTTAGCATAAAGAGATACTGTTTAACCTTAACTTTCCTAGTTGTCCCAATAACATTTATCATTTTCTTTTTGGTTGTTGAGTGTGATGTTAAAACACATGGTCAATGACTACCAGTTTCCTTTCTTTAACAGTTTATATTGAATTCCAAAAGTTATTAGGCATTGATGATCAAAACAATGTAAAACATTTGCATTCTGTATTAAAAAAAAAGAAAGAAAGAAAATCTGTCATTTGACGTATCCAAATTGTGCGTTTTAACATGAGTTCACGGATAAAAATGTTAGAGTAGACCACAGGATTTGCAATTTCTTAAAAGCGGAAGGTGTTTTTAATCATTTCTTTGGTTACGGATTTAGCTTCATTTACAATCTGGGTGTGTAAGTCAGAATCAACTGTATGTGACCAGGAACCTTTTTCTAGAAAAAAGAGTACTAAAGTTGGTAATTTGAAACAAGTTATATGAATGTTCCTTTGTAATCTCTTTCCAACTTCAGTCATTAATATTTAGGTAATGATACACTCATATCCAAGTTGATGAACTACCTTTAACTCTAATGAAAATGTATCATAAGATCATGACTCCTTAGTTCCTTGGTCGTCAACATTTTCAAAGGAAATGGATGAAAAGAGAAAAAAAATAGGTCTATTAAAATTTGGCTTAAACTTTAAAACAAATGCTTTGTTAAGTTAAAAGTTTGATAAATGACATAAACTACAACATAGAGTTTACCTGTGACATCGATCCAGAAGGAAGAGTTTGCTTCGCCATAATCATTTTTAGCAGTACATTCATAATTGCCCTTATCTTTAAACATCACTTGTCTAATAACCAAGGTGTTGTTTTTACTAAGGAGCACTCCATCCTTGGTCCAGTTGACAGACGTGATTTGTGGATCACCTCTCAAATAACACTCTTTTGTAAATGTGGAGTTCAATGCAATGGTGAGATTTCTAGACTCATTACTAACACAGGGTGGAACTGCAAAGTAAGCATATGAACAAAAGTTACAAAATTATTACTAACACGGGGTGGAGCTGCAAAGTAAGCACATGAACAAAAATTGCAAAATTAGAAGCCACCCCCTCCAAAGTAAGCACATGCAAAAAATTGCAAAAAAAAAAGAAAAAAAAAATATTAAAAAAAGGAATAAATAAATAAATAACAATTAAAATGCAGAAGAAGAAGAAGAAGAAGACAATGGACCACTTTTTGATAATATCAAACAAATGCTTTCAAAAGCCATGTCAGTCAGGCTGCTATATTACTAACTTAGCCATGAAACCATCATATTTTATAACATGAACAAAAGAACAAGTATAGAGACTTTCCAGTTCTTTGCAATAAAAAGCTAATCAAGTGGTGTGACAAATTACTCATCCAGGACCTGGTCCTCGCTGGTGAATCAGTTGCAGGTAATAGTTGAAAGCCCTTGCATTTTTTCAATTTTTTCCATAATTTTCTACAACGACCCTACCCTAAGCTCAGACCCAGACCCCTTAATCTAAAGTCAGGCCCACTGACTATTGATCCACACTCCTTAGACATATCAAATGCATGATTGATTTATAATACAGTTGTGAGCTTTACAAACACACCCTTTACAGAAATTTCAATGTCTTTGGTGGAAAAGCCAGCTGCATTCTTTGCCTTACAAGTGTACCACCCTTCCTCCTCCTTTGTTATCTTTCTTCTGTGATGAGATTGCTTGCTCCAGAAATATCCACATTTGGTTGAACTAAGAGGTAAATAAATAACATGTCCATGGAAAATCGGAAGTATTCCAATATCATTTTCACTGAACACATTAGATGCTGTAACTAAATGAACGTTTGATGATGACACTAGCGCTTGATATGAAGTATAACCGTTTGTCAGATTGCAGACTTTTCAAACCTTGCATTGAGGTCTACATACTCTTATTATCTTGGACCAATTTATGAAAGACAGAAGGCGCAGCTGTGGGGAGTATGGTCTCAGCCGTTATTGCTAATCTCCACCTAGAGAGTTATAGCAATAACCTCACCATGCTACTGTGTGGGATTCCAGCCAATCACAGCCAAACAGAGAGTTTCATAATGTCATACATTTCTACCAACCTTATAGCATGAAGAAGACAAGATATGCAGTCATACAGTTACACTCCACATCCAAAGTGACTTAATAGCAAGACAAACAACTATACTGAATTCAGAAAGTGAATTTTTCACCATGACCAACCGAAGTTGTTTTAAGCACATTACCAGTTTGAAAAGAAACTATAAACCTCATCAAAGGGCTCTCACTTTGAGTTATGACGAGGAAACTTCATTGTTGACAAATAACTTAAGTATGATCTTTTTTTTTAATAACATGACACCATACTTCAAACAACTACAATCAACAAACATATTCACGACAAAATGTCACCTTATTTATCACAAATGTGTGAATTGTAACTTACCAATAGCAAACCCATAGCCAGAATGAACATCTGGTAGTCCAACTGATCTCTGAAGGCCAAGTAAAAAAAATATGGATAAACATTTCAGAATAGAAACTGAGATACATAGCCTTTTTTGATATTGTTGTTTGGTGGTATTGTTTTGGCGTGTTATCAAAATTAAGTACTTTTCAACAAAAGAGAATGATTAAAAATTGCTCTGGCTGGGGGTATATTGTCATTCATAAAGTTTGATTGATGAGATGACAAGTTCTTTCAGAGATGACAAATTCAATTTCAGAATTTTCTAGATGTATTGAGAAAGAAATAAAATTTTACCACAGAGAAAGTTCAACAAACCCAAACTCTGAAATAATGGGATAACTGGATGCTCTATTTGGCACCACTTTAAGTGAAATCTTTGTGTAAAAATACTATGGAAACACAAACTGTATAGCAAGAAACTCTTCTGTCATCTCCACTTTATACTTTCTCTACTTCCCAAGAGTACAGGGTCCCTTTGTTAAAAGCTGAGTTTAGATAACTAACAGTCAGTGTGAAATCTGATTTCATATCTGAAAGCTTTCAAATAAAATTCAGTATGTACAATTCTTTTAGTCTGCAATTTGAAGATTGGATGCCCTAGAAAAACTATAGCAAATTTTTCTAAAAAGGCTTTTAAGCAAAGAATTAAACATACCCTGATTAAAATTTAACCCTGGGTTAGTACTTATCAGCCTTTGAACAACTGGGCCCAGGATTGAACAAGTTTCAATTAAACTAAGTTGTAATTTCAACAAGAAAAAGTTATGATCATTCTTACACCAACAATTCCAGGCAAAGCTGCAATATTTGCAATCTGCTTTACACCAAGAAGGAAACCACCAATACATGGAGAGGAATTTCATTTAATTGTATAAAAGAAATAAGACAAATGCAGGAAATACAACAGTAATATATTCCAAATGTTCAGAGTACTGTACCTTGAGTTCCAGCCCAGTGCTCATCAAACATTAGCTTTTCAAGCAACTCATTTTTATAGAAGACACCTAATCAACCTTTAAAGGAAAAAAAAAAAAAGAATAGTTTAAACTTTGGAGTTGAATAGCTGCAACGTACACCTCTACTAGTCTTATATCTGAAACAGTATGTAAAAATTTGTCCATGGTACTAATTAATTAGAACATTAATATTCTTACATCAACAATTTCCAGAAAAATTCCACAGTCAGTAACTTGAGGAAAATGAGAGAAATTAGGGGTCATGAAGTCAATCATGGATATAATTTGGGTTTGATGGAGGAAGTGAGGACAAATACAATTCTCCATTACAGTCAAACCTGTATTAAGCCGTCACCCATGGGTGGGCCCATACAGGGTGAGTGCTTAAAATTATACAGTGCCACTGAAGACTGGTTTGACTGTAGTTCGTGAATTGACTGACTGGATCAAAACAAAACAAAAAATGAAAATATTCCTGACATGAGAGAGGGTGGCAGGGGGATAGGATTTGATCGTAACGTGGGTTGAAAAGGTGGAGGGGGGGGGGATCTAGTTGTCCCAGAAACAATTTTTCTTGAAACAAAACTTAGTTCAAAGAAGGAAATTACTTTGACGGATATGGCAGATGTACGGGGATTTATTTCGATGAACATAGCTTATCATCATCATTCTCACGTATTAAATCGTTGGACATGTATTTTGACGCGCACGCTAGTCAGCTGGAGTTGGGCTTCCGATCCGATGTTTGGCGCGCGTTCACTTACCTTCATGTTTGAGACAAAGCCTTTCTTGATAAGAAACGAGTTTCCATTTAAGCGCTCAATATAAGAGCACTCCTCTTTGAATGTACGGTGTTCTTTCGCCATGTTAGTCTTTTCATTCACGTTTCACAAAGGTTTCAGCAAACTCAGCGTAGGGAGAAAAACCATGTAGTAATAACTCAGCGCATGAGTCCCGTTTGAATATGCGCGCAGTGGTCGCGCGCAGTACGATTTCATATCCAGTCTTTCTCTGTCAGGTAATCCATGATGGCGGACGACGTAAGAGTGTCTTTATTAACTCTCCAGGGATAAACCAGAACGGTTGTTGTTATTTAAAAGAGCGTGCACATTCAGTCTCTCAATTAAAGCTCTTTGCTCATAGCTTTATGCTGGCAGAGGAGAATTCGAAAGGGAAGAAGCGAAAATGGGAACCAGTAGTATTGGACGATCCTTCGTTCTTTGCGGGCGAAATGGATGGATTTGTGTCCCTTGAAGTCATGGAAGACTATGATCTAAAAGAACTAACAGGAATTGGTGCAGGTGGACCAGCTCGGAAGAAGAAAATAAAAGAACGGTCGCTGCAGAAGGTGAAGTGCTTAAAGTGCTTTAAAACGTACCGCATGGTTAAATTCAGAAGATAAGATTCACTTCAAGCACGTGGTGAAATTACCCGGTAAAATTTCCGCACAGTCCTATCCTATCGTAAAACAAATCTGTTTTCCCAATAGCAATGTATTTTTTTTGTCATTGTTTTCTCTATCCAAGAACTGAATGCATAATGTAGTATGGGGCTGTGCGGAAATTTTACCATAACTCATCTTTAATTATTAAATGTTGAGGGTTGTCCAATACATCCACATTTGGTTGAATCGTTTACGAATCGACCCACAAGAAGTCAATTAGTGGTTAAGTCATCTTGTGATACTGGAAATCTGAATAAACTGTGCCTCTTAAGGAGGAAATGTCTTACCAAAAGTGGATTTTTAAGATGCTTAATAAATAATTCTCAACCTGTTACAAGGCAGGCTTGAAAATGTTGTACAATTGACTCGATTTGAGTTAAATGGAATGACTCATCTCCTGAGTTGGATTGGGTGTATTGGATATGAGAATCAAAACTAAGATAACTGCCAGTCATACCTTTAATGAAAAAAGAAACAAACAAACAAAAAAAATATATCATGAATATGAAAGTGATCTTTGCAGTAATGAACACTACTTGAGCAATAGTGAAAATAAGGCCTGAAAAAATTCAGGCCTGTATGGGATTTGAACCCATGACCTCACCAATACCAATGCAGCGCTCTACCAACTGAGCCAACAAGGTCTTATTTCCAAAACTGTTCAAGTAGTGAAATATATTCACAGTCATTTAAAAAGAAAACAACAACAGGAATAACACTCTTCATAAGAACTTCATGGAATTACATCAAGTGATCAAAATCATTTTGATAGCAATTTGTTCTAAATTTTTCAAAGACAGCAGACTGCACTTTTTTCGGTTTTCTCCAAAAATTTGGCTCACTGGAAAAAAAAAAAGCTACATAGTATTCTCTTTTTATTTAAATCTTATGGATTATCCAAAACAAACAGTTACCACACCATCCACACAACTTGAGAAAAGCACAAAGAGCGACCAACAGACAAAGGGAAAAAAGAAGAGGAAAAAGAAAAACAAGGCCCAAAGTAAAGCCCAGTCAGAAGAACAAAACAGAGTAGAAATGGTCACTGACAATAGACTGGTGGAAGATCCTCCAAGTAAGATTTAATTTCATGAATTATGGATGGGAAATGCACAAAACAAAGTACAATTTTACTCCAACGATTGTCCTTGAATTTTATTACTAAGAAGAGAATCAAACACATTTTGTGTAGATAATATTATGTTGGCAAAGATATGATTTTCTAAAAATAATGTAATTTTACTGATAAGTTTTATATTACTGTATTGTTATTTATTAATAAAGTATTCATTAATTTAGACTATAAAACCTTTATAAACATATGTCATATCTATGCAGGTACAAATAACTTATTGCATTCAACTGTAATAAAATGATATTTCCTACTAACACTATGAGTTTAAGATGCAATTATATTTATAGCTAAATCATTTATTTTGAATGAACTAAACTTTAGAGCCCATGGCAGATATGAGTGCTTGGGAAGTCCTTGGTGTTCCCAAAGAAGTTCAGAGAGGACTCAGTGAACAAAGTTTTACTACACCAACCCCTATACAGACTCTCTCCCTTCCACCTGCAATATTCCACCACAGGGACATCATTGGTGCAGCAGAAACAGTGAGTTCAATCAGAGCAGTTAGATTGGTGGAGGTCTCTTTTTTTATGTGCATTGTTTGTTTACTTTTTTTAATACTATTTTGAAGAATCCTTTTTTTTTTTGGAGGGGGAGAGAGAGAGAGAGTAGAAAAAAAATACTTTTTCAAAATGTACATGTATTTCCTATGATGTACACCTAGCTCATTTACGTGTAAGAAGACTTTCCCACACATTATAGCAAACAGTTTCTGTTACTTTAGAGCTGGTCTTTGACCTGAATTAATGTCTAAAGTAGGTACTAGATGAGTTTTGAATAATTATAAATATGACTTTTGTGAAAGCACTTTTGAGGAGAGCTGTCGAGCTGAAATTATGTGTATAGTGTACCTCTTGAGAGAGAGCTCTGACTGACTGATTAACTGAAGGTTAAATTTTGCTAGATCTTAAGAACTAACTTGGTAGTTCTTCCCTCTATATGTAGGTGTAATCTATCTTCCTATAGTTGGTTGATGGAACATTATTTATACAAAAATGTGCATTACAGTAAGATTATCAAGATAAGTCCCTTCAGCTTGCAAGTTTTGTAGTTCTCATATCATTTGTTGGATAATGCCTTGAAATTGTCTGTTGAAGTTATGATAAAATCACTTGGGAGAAGCATAGATTTCAGGAATGGCTGGTTTTTGAGGAGGTTATTATTTAAGGTTATTAATTTAAAAAATTGTGTGTATTTACTAGGGTTCAGGTAAAACACTAGCCTTTGGGATTCCAATTCTCACCCACATGCTTGGCCACAAGTCCAGTCAAGAGCAGGTGGTGAAACTACAGAAAATACTACCAAAAATAATGCTACAGAAGCCACAGAAACTGGTAATGGAACATCCAAGCTCAAGAAACCCCTCCTGGCATTGATAATGACACCAACCAGAGAATTGGGGCAACAAATAAAAAATCATCTTAAACAGGCTGCAAAACACTCATCTTTAGAGGTAACTTTATGTACTTAAATTGACAATTTGGAAGTCATCTCCACAGTTAATTCTATTTTCCCATTGTTAGAAACTCCATTATTACTTTATTTTTATTGGCCCAAGTCAATTTTGTCTTGTGAGCCTTCAATACTATTTTTTTCAATGGAGCAGAAGGTAAACCTATCTCTTGTTTGGAAAGTATTTTTTACATTTTTTTTGGGAAACATGATTTTGTAGCCTCAATAGATTTAGGCAGCTTAAATGACAATGAGTCAGCACTGAAACACATCCCTACAAACATAAATTCTATTGTTTTGTGGTACCAAATTCTGGAGTGAAATATTTATTTTATCTACACCCCTTCAGCAGCAAAGTATATAAAAACCCTTTTGTTCAGAGTATTACAATCCTAATTTGTATAGGTTGAACTAAAATCAGGGCTGAAATACCCAAAGCCACTCCAATCTTTGCTTTCCATGAATCAAGTAAACCTTCTTGAAAGTTAAAATTCTCATTAAAATGTAATTCAGTCCATGTTAATAACTTTCGATTCTAATCCGTTACACTAACTAATTTTGGTTTCAATTTGTAGGACCCGCGAAACAGGCCATATGGCAAGGGGAAAAATTTGCACAATCACGTCACGCAATATATCAAGCTGGGTTTGTCCAGTTGATTTTGATGATCGCAGGGAAATGTCGAGTTTCTCGCTCAAAACCATTGTGGTCCATAAGAGCGTAATATCATTAGTTATGGAAACAAATCTGCGGAAAGGAGGGTTAGTTCATCGGGTTCCGTATACTAAATCTCGGGAGAAACTGCAAGAATTATTTCAGAGTGTATGCGGGTTGTTTTGTAAATATAAACACTGTAACTGTTTTTGTGTCCTTTTGAGCGACGCGATATGTCTGTTATGACCAGAGTGCCAAATTTTATTCTTTAATTTTGATCTTCTCCACACAACGTAGTTCATGAACTGATATTTCAAGGTAAATTATCGGGAAGGCGCCTTCCGATCACCTTTGTCTACTTTGTAAGTCACGCAAGCGTTACGACCGATCACGTTTACGCAACGTTTTAGGACAACTCGGCATCTATTCTCCATTCAGTTGCTGTAAAAACCTAAAATCCTCAACGTAGTAGATAAACGAACGAAGTTTGAACGGTCAAAAGGAGATGTTGGTCAATTTTAAGAATCATGCAAATGATCTATGACAAGAGCGCAATTTAGCAAACACATGGATCTGCGTTGTTTTTTAAAAAGTTGTTGGATGGATGAGGCAATCCGGACCTCATTGGTGTATTAACTATGCACTGATATGCCTTTTCAGCCTGATTAACGCCTGCATTTTGAGAATTCTTTCGTACAAAGTAGTGAATTTTTGTAATGCAAATTAAGGTCGAAGAGAAGGGTCTCCTCTGATCACACTGGTATGAAAACTATTTCAGCTGAAGTTTCTATATTTTGCTGTGAACTAACTGAATACATCATGTAACTTGGAGCAAGATAGAATTCCGTGAGCTACATTGTTGCAGTCGCTGCGCGCTGGACAAAATCTTTGAAACTTACGCTTTCGATCGCTGTCCACAGGGGTGGTCTGGCCAGAAATCATTTTTGGCTTGTGGCGACGCAAAAAAAGAGAATTGGAGAAAAACTAAACAATTTTTGAAACATGTGTCTTAAACCCTTTTCATGGGCAAAAAATAAAAGGAAACTTTTTTTCGACGGGAAGTTGAGAGGACCGCTCTTAGCGAGAGTTAAATGTATTGAGACCCCAGAATGTGAGAGAAATTGTTGGAAGACTCTGCTAAGATTTTAATTGTAAGAGGGCCAAAATACACGTAGGTGTGCATGGAGTTACTTGAGGAGATTTGAAGAATAATCCTTTTTCCAATGAATAATTCATATACTGACAATTCACCCCAAGACTCGTTCACTCTAAACTTCCCTTGTATCTTGGCCGTTTAGTTTACGAGTGAATGATGTTTTGGTATCAATGCTATGGAAATATGTTACTATATATGTGTACTACTCCACACTTGGGTGAAAATTGGCGATTTGACGTGAATACGCGTAAGGTTTAGTCGTATGTGTCACCCCATGTGAGGTAATCCGGGACAGTATTAGATTCTGGATTCCGGATTCCAGGTGCTAGATTCCGGATTCCCTCTCAAATTACTTTCTAACTTTCCTTTTAAACAAAAGCCAGACTGAGGAAAAATTTAAACTGAAATACAAGTTTTTTACTACCCCGTGTATGTCGCAAATAAATCCCAGACTATGACCAAGAAAAGCTTGTTTTCCTACGTGTAATTAGAGATGATGTTCGACATTATGAGATTGTGCATAAAACGATGTTCAACCAGCTCAACTATACTCAAACCTTTGCAAAATCGCAAAAGATCTGCATTTACACAAATTTTCCAAGAATAACAGATTCTCTTTTCTATACTTCATTTTTCTTTAAAAGGTTAACCAAGTCAAGTCACATTACTTCGGCTATGAATTCTCCAGAAAAATGATTCTATAAAGGTTTAAGGTGGCTTGTCGCTTTTTTTTTTCAAGTTTGACCCTAAAATCTGGTAATATCTTATTTTATTCGCACTGAGATAAGATGTTTTATTAAATATTCAAATTTGTTATTCCGAATGCCAAATATCAAAGAAAGCGGTTTACGTTCTAATAGCGAAAATTCTCCCGGCTCCCATAGGTGTTCATATATATCTTTGTTCAAAGTTTGTCGCAACTGGAAACGTGTGGTCCGTTACCACGTTGGTGTTCCAAGCATATCCTGGGGAATTTGAGTGCTTTTGTCACGTAAACAATTTCTTTTGTCTCTCCAAATTTGCCAACCCATTGACCACGTGAGTGAACTGCACTCCACAGCGGTTGCATTAGTCATCATAAAACGCAGACTGCAGACCATGCAGACTCTGCAAACCGCGCAGACCGTGCGGGCTGAGCTATTTTTTGTTTGCTTTTTTTAAACTGTGATTTACATATGATTAAGGTGTATACACCACTTTCTTGCTCTTTTGGTAACGTTTTTCCAAGTTTTGGACACCACATGACGAAATTTTACGAGTTTATATCGAACTCTCGTTACCTAGCAAAGCAAAATCACAGGCTCAAGTTTCTCGAGCTCATGGAGATTATCCCCACACGGCTAGATTGCAGATGTTATTTTTGCGGACAGTGAAGCTGTTTTAGAGGTATGGAATGTGCTGTATGAACGAAGCAAATGTTTACCAGGATCTTCACAAGACAACCCAAAGAACTTTACGGTAAAGAAAGTGCTGCAAGCTAAAATTGAACTTTACTAAGAATAAGATTTTTGAATCGGAGTAGAAGACTGATTAATAGCTAGTAAGGAACTTTGGCCATTACAGTATCGAAGTTGACTGAGTGGAAGGTCATGACTGAATTTGTCGTTGTCACGCGAGCTGTAGCGGTCAAAATTCTGCAGCGAACAAAGCGCGCTTTACATGATCTGCACGGTCTGCAGTCAACGTTTTAGCATGACCGTGGTTGCATGGATGCACATGAAAGCCGTTAATACGATTTGAAAATGATCTTCAGCAAATGGATTCTGGATTCATTATCTAGCGGGATTCTGAATTCCAATGCCCAGTATTCCGGACTCCACAAGCAAAAATTTCCTGGATTCCGAAATCCGGATTACCTTACATGGGGCGATATGTGAAATCTGATGACCCGATTCTACCTTGTCTCTCTCTGACCTGATGACCGAACAACATCCCAAGCTGTAAGCCAAGACTGGTGTGGTCAGGTGGCTTGATTTGTGATCCTTATTCCAATGGGACAAACTAATCCACAAAGCACCAGTTTTAACATGTAGCTCGGTCTACACTAAACGCTTCTATGAGTTGTGGCGCTGTGCAGCATTGTCTTCCATCTTTAAGAGCTCTTTTTCTTCGAACGCAATTTGCATTGTCATGGTAAAGTGAATTTTTTCTTTTGTTTTGTTTCTTTTGAAGGCTCTACTTCCCCCATTCTCTCGAGTGTGGGTCAGGTCTCATTTCCCAAACAGTTTCCGGGTATCGCCAAGGATTTTTTATGACACGATTGACAAACAGCACCAGAAATAAAAAGAAAAGTGAGAAAATGAGATGCAACTAGATCTCTACAAAGTTCTTCATCTTAACACTTGCATATCAAGGCGGTAAAAATCTACAGACGTATTCTATGATAATAATTATGTTTTTGTATTATACCATCATGCGAGCCAAATGCAGCATGGAGACAAAACAGGTTAAGTCAATCCTTGATTTAGTGGATCACGTTCTGCAGAGTCCTAATCCATCGATCTGAATTCAATTAATTTGGTGTGAAGGAAACACTTCAACTGCTGATATCTGGACTTATAATGAGCTTGCAAATTTTACAACTTGAATATAATAAAACCTATAAAGAGTTGACAATAATCCTTACAAAGAACTTGCAAACTGGTAATGTTCTCTTACCTGGACAATCGGGTCTCTGATAGGCAGTTTAGTTACACTTCTTACGCTCTCATTATTCTTGCTAGCAAATGAGATTCTCGATAATGGCCGTTAATTTCTTCTTAAGGTATATCAGGAGCTACGGGTAAACAACGCTGTTTGCATGTCCACACCAATAGCATAACAGCATAATATAATATGGTAGCGATTCACGGACACTGAAGTCAATGGCCAAAATCGTATGATACGCGTGTGCTAGAAGCCAGCAAAGTGCAAAAGCAACAACGACAGCTATCGACATATGAATCACTTGACGCTTGCTAGCGTGGGCCCGAGTTGTTGCGCGATTGTTGATGGCAATGCCCGGCAGTTTGTGCCTGTGGAGTGTATGACAGACGTGTCCATAGAGAATGCACATGGTAACTAGGGGCACTAAGTAGATGATGACTACGATGTAAATAAGATACCTCTCAAAGCTGCTTGAGTCTCGCCAAACTGAGTAAACTTAAATTCTATCCTGGAGTTCTTAACTTTGATTGTGATCAGCCATGGAGTCATCAGACACATTGACGGGATCCAAATTTTGGGAACCAAGATCTTTTTGTTCCCAAGGCGAGGGAACTTTTGCATTGGAAGGACAATCCCGAAGAAGAAGTCAAAAGCCACGGCTGTTAGAGAGAAGACGGAAGCTGTGACCGCCACGAAGAAAACAACATCGATCCACAGATTGTCAAAAATGATTTGTTCCATCGAATGAGGCATGACAACAGCTGTTACGAGCAAGTCGGCCACAGCGAGGTTGACGCACATGAAGCTTGTTAATATTCTTGTTTCTGGCCTCTTGTACAGAATATAGATCACCAAAATGTTTCCAACTAAGGCCATTGAAATGATTCCAGTATATAAGATGGCGAAGGTGAGTTTAATTCTTGATGGATACGTGAATGGAGGCTGCGTCGTGGAGCCTGAAAGAGAATGAAGTACCATGGTTAAAGCAAAAATAAAGGAAATAGGTCTGCAACGCGCGCGTACACCGAAAGGCGACATAGATAGTGACGATATGCAATAATAATTATCGGAAAAACATCCATTAAACCCAAGCTTTTTCCATCATTGAAGAGTGCATCACTTCTGTCATAAAGGGATATGCCCTTGATCGGTGGAAAATGTCAAAGCTGTTTGTGCTTTGCGTTTTTCACAAGTATTGCAGCAGCAACAATGGTAGCGTTAGCTATTTTTTGGACACTTTCAAGCGCCATTTTTGAAGGTGGTTTTCCTACCGTTATCAGCCTGCGAGGACGTCAATATTTTTGGATCTGCAGCTTCCTAGTCTCTATTGTTTGAAGAAGTCAGCATAATTTATCTGAATACTTGGTTGACGGGATAAGCTCAGCTCTAAAAAAGTTGAGTCTTTATTTCAAGCAACGTTGCGTTCTTTGAATATTGGGTCTGCCAGGAAAAAAGTGAATTTCAGATTATCACCGTCACAATTACAAAAATCTAGATGTTTACCACAAAACGGCGCAGTTCAGCCAGCTTGCTTAACAGCCTCTTTCCTTTTTTTTTTTTTTTTTTTTGTTGTTTTTTTGTCTTGTTTTGTTTTTGTTGTTTTTTATTGGTCAAAAATGTGCTGCACTTCTTTTCAGAACTAAAATTGTGTCGATCGTTTATTTCGATCATGAGAGAAAAAATCTGAGATCCGAGCTTAGTTAAAGAAATGAAAATAGAAAGTAATAACTTAGCTAAGAATCCTTACTCCTAGGGAAGGCATTTGCCACCCAAATTATTGAATGATGGAAGCGCAAATTTTGTGTCAACCTTTTTTTCGTCATCTAAGCTATTTTGAAAGATTGTTTCGGCGGATTTATCGCATAACGAGAGCAAAAGATCAAAAACACCTGGGCAATAAAAATCATTAAAAAATAATCAAATTGACTAGTGAAACAAAATGCTTTATCTTCCCTTGTGCTATTGAAAACCCAGTTTCACGTGGTAAAATTCGTTCCTAAAAGGGAAAACTAAGATTTGTAACTATTTCCGTTGAAGCTAAGTGTTACCGCTTCCGAGAAAAGCTGCGAAATATTTTCTGGTTAGGTTGAAGCCCCCCTGATTAGTTCTTTTTAGACAGAAAATTATAGTTAGCGTTTCAGTTCAAGATAAGACCCCGTGTGATCAAGATCGTTTTTGAATAGAAGACAAGTTAGACCATAATCCTCGATAAAGTAATCAAGATTCGCGAGCGTTGGTAAGCAATAACTTATTTTGTGATTATGTTATCTAGCTCGTAGTCGTTACTCAAAGCAAAATTTATCGCTCGTTTTTACCTTTCTTTTGGTTCCTTTAACGGACGCGTGCTCGTTTCCAAAATCGAGATTATTCTTAAGCTATTATCACAATACTTAGGTGACTTCTTTACGCAATAATTTCAGTTGACCGCTTCGATATAATAACGCCCCAAGGAATAGGAAAAGGAATAAAGAAAGAAAAGATCCTATTTGGTTTGGTGTTTATCGCATGCGCGTGTATCAACCCGGGAATCGAATTTGCAACTCTAGCTTGAAAAGAAACATTTATTGATATTGATTCAATTATAATCCCGTAGATGCAAGAGTTCGCATTCCACGTTTACATCTCGTCCCTTCGGCTGCTAACATGGCTAAAGCATGATCACTTAATTACAACGACGTTTGCCCGTAGGGGGCTTTAAATAACAAAAAGAGTCTCAACTGATTTCAACTTCACACTTCCTCTGAAGAAGAAAAGATTCTCTATCTTCGAAAATTTTCTCATCAGGAAACAACAACACAGGTCCCCAGCTGCTTGAAGATACCGCTGGTTAGCATGCGTTTTATCGCAAGTTGAGAGAACGTCGTCCCCAGGTTCCAGACCACGCCAATTTTTCCCTTCCCTCCCCACCCCCCGGACTGTTCTCTCAATCCCCTTGAAGAAACCGTCTTCTACAGCCAGTGCTGAAGAGTTTTATTACAGTTTTTTTCATAGTGAGGGGATAGAAAATAAACTATAACAAGAAATAATAAAAAAGTTTTGATTGTCTTTAGCCGGCATAGTATTATATCAGAGGAGAGATAAATCGGGGAGATATATGCCATGGTCAGTCAATCTGGATTGAAACACTTCAGCAATTCAGCAGTAAAGTGGATCAGAACATTGATAACAGAGGCACTTAAAACTTATCCTTCTGTTGCATCTTAAAAAGGTTGGATTAATTAAAAAATATTGCCCCCAGTGTATTTTATAACTACGAAACATCGACAAATCCTAACTGACTCCTTTATTATCATGATGACAAACTCGAAGGTTCTCCTTGACAAGCACGCAGTCCTAAACAGACCGATAAAGCATGCGTCAAAGACGCGACCAGCCATAGCTTCGTACGTAAATGTGAAAAGTTGAGAGTGTGGATATCTCATTTGGTGATATACATGAAGATGCCATTTCATAGATGCGACCAGCGCTTAAGACTGATGACGTCATTCAAAAGCTTAATGAGGATACGGAATGGTCTCAATCTCAACTGACTTGGTAATCAATAAAAAGTCATAAGATAAGCCTCTAATCTTTTTATTGCAGATATTAAATAGAGTGTTTTACATTATGTTAAATACAACTTGTTGTATTTGGATAGCGTACAAAATTAAACGCTCATCCGTGCTCTCATTTCGCCCGGTTTTTAAACAAGCACTCCATTTACCATAGCAAAACAGTATGAACCCTTTACATGGTGTTTTCTTTCTCATACGAATCCAAAGCACTTAATTTGAATTAACTCCCACTCTATTAAGACGGTTCTCTCCGTTTATGACAAAAGCATTTAATACTAGCAGCAAAATGGTAAATGTCAATAACAATGCAATCGCTTGTTTTCAAATAAAGGTAACTTGAAAGTTAAACAAATCACTAGAAGTGATGCAATATGTAACTTAAAGAAGATACTTCATTAAGTGATAATGCTAGTTAATACCACACGACTAATTCATTACCAAACTACAAAATTTTACCAAATTTCATATCGCTGTTAGGAGATCTCTTACTAGGTCTGCCACAAACAAATTTAGTAAATGGTTTCACAATAAAACAATGAAAAGCTCGCCAAGTACATCTATCGGCATAAACGAGCCGTTTTTCAAGTAGGTTGTTTTTTGCTTGTTTCTTTCTTTCTCTTCTGATTTAATCTATTACGGAAGTTTAATTCATATCTATCCAATATTCCTTATTCTGACACCGATTAAATTATTTATTATAGGCATTCTTTAAGAATTAATTAATTAGTTTCTTGTACTTTTATTATTATCATTTTGTCAATCAAGGACAAAGCTTTCACATGTTCTTCTAATAATTATAGGGAGAGAAATTTAACCAACACAAACCTACACTTAGTTTAGCACCGAGAAGTGACGATTATGTACCCTAACGACGGTCACTGGCCCATTTTCCCAATCTCTTAGCTGAGGTCTTCTTTGCAACTTCCTCACTTGGTCCTGCATCTTCATCTCCGAGATCTTCAACCCTGGAGTATTTTGCCTTGTCATAAGCACCCATGTCAAGAAGTTCCAAATATGTCTTAAAAGAAAGTAACAAATGAGAGTTACACATTAGCCGCATAGCGTTACAACACAGTAAAGTCAAGCTGTAAAGTGCGATCACTTCCCCGGCATACTGAGAATCTCTTTGGTTTAAAGTCGCGGATATACTAAGTGCATTCCTTATTTCCTCTCTGAAAATAGAGAAGTTGCAGGTAGGTGGGTAGACCTGAGTAGATTTATGCCCTAGGGACGATTACAACCGCCGTAAGTATCAGAAGCAGCCAACAAGTGGAAATGCTCGTAAATGGCCTGACGGGCTGGAAAATGTCTCTACCAGAACTATGACTGGTCTCAGCTGAGGCTTTTATGGAGCGAACGGAAATAAAACCAAGGCTACCAAGTATTTGCCCCATGGAGGCAAGGTAAGAAGTTTGAAAAGTTTTCGAGTCTTTAAAATGCATAAAATATTGGGAAGTTGTCAATTCTAGAAACGAACCTCTTCACGAATGTATGTGTCCATTCTTTGTCGCAGGTTTTCAAAAGGAGGACGGAAGTCAGGGTTACGATTCCAGCACCTTTTCATGATATCATACCTGAAATTTAACAATGATGGTCTACTCTTAACTAACTTTTTATGGATTGTGCAAAGAATACCAATAAGGTCCTCCTACAGGAACCTTTTATTGAAAATAGTATAGGCAATGGTTCAGGTTTGTCCTTATATTGAAAATAGTGTAGGCAATGGTTCAAGTTTGTTCTGGGACGTCCAAAATATCGCACTTCTTCACCCGCTCTGATGTTTTTCAAATACATTTTGATGTCATAATTGTCCACGCCGTATCTCAGCTGAGTGTGGTATGCTGCTGGTTCACATTCAGATAACGGAAACCTACTGATATGATTGTGTTCCAATTGCTTTATTGCAAAGATTTCATCAATGAGAACGGTAAATGTGTCGTCTTGGATCTTAAGTTATTTTTAGGAACACGTTGGTATTATTCTTAAAAAGTGCAACTCACAGTTTTTTATCAACATGATCGGGCTTTGGCATCTGATATCCCTTTGTGACCTCTGCAACCACCATGCCTTCTGACCATCCGTCGTACGGAATTCCTCCTGTCAAAGGATAAAAACAAGTGCATGTCACATTTCTTAATATATGAACTCTACAGTGACCGTGTCACAACTAAATTACAGGACGGAACATTACATGAGAACTGAAGAATTAGCTTAAAGAATTTTACAGTGATGGATGGCTAAGGAGTAAGTAAAAACAAATCTTTATTAAAATAATAGTAACAAAAATGGTATTACTTCTATAGCGCTTGCATATTTCTGTCCTAAGCGTTAAATGTATTGACTGAACATAGCTTGGCTTACCAAGGGTAACTATCTCATACAGAACGATTCCATAGGACCACCTGACGAGAGCATATCAGAAATATTCTACAGTTAATCGCTGAGTGAATTTTGGACGTGAAATGATGAAGAAAATCCAAAAGTAATCAGTTTGTTAGGTTGGTGGATTAATATACATATCTATACATACACATCACTCAAGGTGGAAAGTCCAGCAAGTTCTCCCAGCAGAATCTCTGGTGCCGTCCATTTGATTGGCAAACATCCCTAGAAAAAAAACCAATAAATGTTTGCCGTACAAAGCATATGTACATTTTTTTCAAAGCCATCTTTGAAAAAATATGAAGCTACATAACGTAAATATGTTAAAATATGAAAAAAAAAAACTATATTAGTCGTTCCCTAATAAGTCAATTCAATGTTAGCCATCGTAAAGCTGTCGCGGAAAACAGAAAACGTAACTCCTTTTACGAGACTTTCTACAAAAAAACGTTAGTGAAATTGACATATCCCGGTGCCCAGGCTAGAGTACTTATTCTGTTAATTTCTAACTCTGCTTTGTTTTGCTTTTTTCTTGTAAGTAGAAGTGAGCTATGAAACCCTGTTGGTAGTAGAGGTACATTAACTTTATGCAGAGAATATTCTAATGCTTACAACTTGTTTCCCCACTAAAGTAACAAAAAAGTGTTTTCTACCTTTTTGGCATTTCCATGGCCATACTTGAAGCTTTGATATGCCATACCGAAGTCCGTCACTTTGCAAACATAGTTGTTATCGAGGAGAATGTTTCGAGCTGCCAGGTCACGATGGATGATCTATCAGAAGACAAGGACCCAGAATATAAATGATAAGAAACGATAGGTTTATACAGCACACCGCTGAATCAAATGTCTGAGGATGTTCGAACAATAAAAGAGCTAAAACTAAGGCAGCCCTATGTAATGATTTAATGCTGACAAAACCAAGATTTCTACTTTCTTTATCAGAAAAAAATTAATTTTTTTAACAGAAAAAATAACGATAACGATAACAATGAGAACGATAATAGTAATAACTAATCTAATAATCACAATAATTATGATAATGAAATGAAATTTAGAAATGGTAAAGCAACAGAGGACCCGTTGTGTTCCAAAAAATAAAAAGACAAGATGGTTTTCTCTTTACCTTTGTTTCCTTTTACAAATTTCTAGGGAGTTCTATTTTTTCCTTTGTTTTTTTTTAAGTGTTGCAATAAAGTTTATATATATATATATATATATATATATATATATATATATATATATATATACAACGCAGATGATTTACACTACACGTGACTAGCCAAAACAAACCGTCAGCGCACACTCGATCTTTGACAGGTGCATGGAAATTTCTTCTAGGATTAATTTTATAACATCCCAGATAAGCAAAGCTGGGATTTTTTTAGGCTGAGCAACCGAATTATTATGAACCTCATTCTCATGTCGTCTGGCTCACTTTTTTTTTTTGACATCTGCAGTGACCTTCTAATGCCAAGAAAGAGGTTTATCTAATTCAAAAGCACTCGTAAATGTTGGCCAAAATCCGAGCTATTGAAAAATAAAATGTTTAAATCTCTGATAGATTTTCCTGAGTTAGACTTGACACGTGACAAGTATTCCACTTACCCCTCGCGTTCCAAGGAACACCATGCCGGCAGCGATTTGTTTGGCAAACAGCACGAGATCGTAGTTGTTCAAATCCTGAGCTCTTCCCTCACCAAGATAATATCGATCCCTCACTCCTCGGCATTTTCTGAGGTAACCAAGTAGGTCACCACATGGCAAGTACTCCATGATGAGTATGGGGTGAACTTAAGTGACGTAAAACAAGAGGAAAAGCAAATAAACCCCATGTCAAGGTTCCTTATTGTATATCAAACATAAAATTGCTGATGGCTTTCTCTATGAAGCAGCTTAGCTTACAGGACTCATTCTTTTAGGATCTACCTTCATCAGAATTTACCTTCAAAAATTTGCTATAGGTTAAAGGGAGAAAGCCGCACAACCCCGTTAACGAGATTTCAAGCTATCCGACTGAGATCTTAGTGAACTGTCGATGGATGCATGCTCTCGAAGAAAAACAGTCTGGTTGCCACACAAAAAAAGACAAACTTGGCTTCATTAACATCCTAGTCACGAAACTCATCTTAAGAGGCATTTGTAGTATCGTTAATAACACATACCTAGAAAAGATGCTGTACGCTTAGCACTTACTTTCTGTCGTAACGCAGCCCATGAACTTTACAATGTTTGGCGAAACGTTTTCACCGATAAGTTTCCCCAGCTCAATTTCTCTCATTAAACATTTCCTTCCTTCCTCTCCAGCAGTGGCTACGACAAAAGTACACATTAATGGAGACACATTCTGATTAATACATTAATTGATTGATTCCATACAAGTTCAAGCCAGAAAGAATCCGGTAGAGCTACAAACTTTGCATGTTCCTATTACCATTTGGATGATAATTTTCGCAGCTAGCAGGTTGCCCAACTCACTCCCCTAAGCTAGGAGATTGCCCAACTCACCCCCCTGTTGGAAACAAGAATTATTGCAGGATCACTGCAATGCCAGAATCACTTTTGCTGCCAAACTGGTTGATTATCTTATATGTTTGTTTGTCCTCCATCCCTTCCCCCCCTCCCTCGCCTTCTCTTTTTTTCCCACGCGTAACCTTGAGTGAAGAAGAGAGAGGTGTGCGTTGGTCAAGAAGTAGTTTTGGACCACTCTTCACCCCCGCTACTCCCCAAATAAAACATTTTTATACCTGCCCCTGAGATCAACATATGTATCAATACAACGAATAGTAGGAGGCTTACGTGTGAAACATTTGGCGGCCACTGTCCGATTTCCAGGTTGTCCATTTGGTGAACTCAGGAGAGCTCTCCACACGGCTCCAAACGCCCCTCGTCCGATAACGTCTTGAAGCAGGACACGGTTAACCGCAACCTCCCACTCATCTACCTCTGCATTCAATGGCTCCATCTGAATTGCCTGCTCTTGGTCAGGACTAAATATTGGAAATTAACATTGTATACTTTCAGGTTCAAAACAAAGAAAGGTGATAAAAAGAAAAGAGAGATCAGAACGAAAAAAATTGATTGGGGAGATAATCTCTCTTGCCGTTAGTGGAAAACAATGTTTTTACTAAACCAGGAGCATAAATTATTACAAAACATGTCAGTAGTTATTGTTATTTAAGTACACTTTGTCAATTGGATGAAGTTCAATAATAGCTTCGTCGTTTGTTAAAATTAAACAAGAAACACTTGGTTTTAAAATCAGAAAATTTTACGTGCATTTCAAAGCATAAATCTATAAATTAATCAAACCGAGAATAGATAGAAGATACTACTGAGATAAAAAAAAATTAAACAAAGGAACTAATGAAGCCGATTCTAACAGCACTTGATGAATGTTAATAATGCATCATGAACACGATAAATGTAAAGTCACTGCGATATGATTTTTGTTATCGTCATCGTGCAAGATGGTGACCCATGAGGAAGGTAATGGTGTTTTTTTTTATTAATTTGATAAATAAAAGGTAAAATAGTTGACTTACAGAGCCAAAGCTGTAATTCCAAATAATGAAATAAAGGAGATAAAGAAGGTAAAAGTTTATATTAATTTATAAAATCGAATATTTTAAAAGAATTTCTGTGTAATGGCAGTATAATTTGAATTTACACAAATTAGGAGGGACGTGATATTTGCTGAATTTAAAATTATTATTAAAACACTGTTAACAGTAATGGAAATTGTAATGATGATACCATATACAGATGTGGAAAAAATTTACAATCAGCATTTTTTTGGCCGCGCGCAAGTAATTCTTATAAAGATATTTCTACTCTGAGACTCTTAGCTCAGTGTTCCCCCATGCCCCCCCAGCAGACATGGAAAATAAGTTTAAACATTTCCTTCTTTTACTTTCAGACAAAGAAATCTGAAATAATAAAGAAAAATGGACGTCACCTGTCCTTCGACGCTTGCAGAAATACCAGGCAATTAGCGAAATGACAATCGCTGCTGCCACTGATCCACCAATGTAATACCACAAAGTGTTGAAACTTTGCATGGCTCGTGGCTCTTGCTTAGCTAATTGTGTAAGATAAATATGTGGCCATTAGACAAATTTCGACGGTAGTAAAAGTACTAATAGAATTCAAGTTGTTTGGAATAGCTTTGGAAGAACTTGGTACATTATCTAACCCGTGATTGACACCTGCTCTTGAAAACGAAATACCTGAATTTCATAGAGCGATGCAAGGAAATTTCATGTAAATGGGTCAGGCGACCCATATTTGTTTCGTCTTTAACTGAAAAATAGCTTTAATCTATTTGAAAATATATTTTTTAATCGGTAAAGTTGTATGTTTTTTTAAAGACACAGCGGTAACACCAGCTTACCTTTGACGTTTATTTTTACAAAGGAACGGGCAAGAAAACCGAGCTTGTTACGTGCCTCACAAGAATACACACCACTGTCCTCCTTCACAACTTCAGTTATAACAAATGTACTTTTTCCGGCATTTAATCGTGTATCAATCTTTGCTCTTTCGGGTGGTGAGTCTCCCTTTTTTTTCCAAGTTACATTTATTGTTTCTTCGTTGACGTTGCAGGTCAAGGTGAGGTTGTCTCCCGCTGTGAGTGCTGGATACTGATCTGGAACAATTTGAGCAGAGGCTTTTCCTACGTTAAGAAAAAAGCAATTGATTAAAATCATGGTCCTCGTTCGTCACCCTCATCGTCAGCATCATTTCAGTGTCAGCGTTACGTCATCGTCATCGCCATGGTTATCGTCGGCGTCATCGTCACGGTCAATGTCATCATCATCGTTATTGTCATTATCATCAAACTTACCGTAAACACGCAGTGTTGCAGAAGAAATACTGGTATTTGCTTTATTTTTCGCTTTACACTTGTAAGTCCCTTCCATCCCTTTTGTGACGCTTAAAAGTTTCAGGAATGATTCTACTTCGTGATTGAATTGATTGATATCAGATGGCAGGTCAGCATTATTAAAAACCCAGACTAATGTTGGTGTTGGTACACCTGAGGCTCGGCAACTGAAGTTCACAGAGTTTCCGTCAGTAACAGACTGGTTTATCGGAGGCTCTATAATCTGAGGAGATACTTGAATTAAAAAAAATCCAAAGTTAGCAAGGTTCGCGTAGTCCAGTTGAACCCCATTTATCCAATCCAATCAAAACAAAAAACGCAACTTCGCGTTCAGCATAAAAAGATATTGTTTGCCCTTAAGTTGTCCCAGTTGTCCCAATAACATTCAACCTTTTGGGTGACTATTAGTTTCCTTTTTTTAACAGTATATATTGAATTGGAAAAGTTATTAGGCGATGATGATCAAAACAATGTAAAACATTTGCATTCTGAAATCAAAAAAAGAAAAGGAAATGTGTCATTTGACGTTTAGCGTTTTAATATGAGTTCACGGATAAAAATGTTAGAGTGGACCACAGGATTTGCAATTCCTTAATAGCGTGAGGTGTTTTTAATTATTTCTTTGGTCACGGATTTAGCTTCAATAACAATCTGGGTGTGTGTAAGTCAGAATCAACTGTACGTGATCAGGTACCCTTTTCTAAAGAAAAAGAGTACTAATGTTGGTAATTTGAAACAAGTTATAAGAATGTTCATTTAAAATCTCTTTCCAACTTCAATCCTTAATATTTAGGTAATGATACATTCAAAGCCAAGTTGATGAACCATCTTTAACACTAATGAAAATGTATGATAAGATCATGACTTCTTAGTTCCTTGGTCGTCGACATTCTTAAAGGAAAAGGATGAAAAGAGAAAGAAAAAAATAGGTCTATTTAAATTTGGCTTAAGCTTAAAAACAAACAAACGCTTTGTTAAGTTAAGTTTGATAAATGACATAAAATAAAATATAGAGTTTACCTGTGACATCGATCCAGAAGGAAGAGTTTGCTTTTCCATAATCATTTTCAGCAGTACATTCATAATAGCCTTTATCTTTAAACGTCGCTCGTCTAATAACTAAGGTGTTGGTTTTATTAAGTGGCACTCCATCCTTGGTCCAGTTGACAGATACTTGTGGATCACCTCTCAAATAACACTCTTTTATAAATGTGGAGTTAAATGCAATGGTGAGATTTCTAAGCTCATCAGTAACACGGGGTGGAACTGCAAAGTAAGCATATAAATACAAATTACAAAATTAGAAGCCACCCAACGGGCCCCCCCTCCCCCCACCCGCAAAAAGAAAAAAAAAATTAAACAAATTAATAACTAACAATTTAAAAAAGAAAACGATGAACAATTTTTTTATCATATCAAACAAATGCTTTTAAAAACCATGTTAGTCAGGCTAAATTACTAGCTTAGGCACGAAACCATCATATTTTTAGAGCAGGAACAAAAGAACAAGTGTAAAGATTTTCCAGTTCTTCGCAATAAATATCTAATGAAGTTGTGTGAAGAATTACTGTACACTTGACGTACACACCCTTTACAGAAATGTCAATGTCTTTGGTGGAAAAGCCTGCTGCATTCTCTGCTTTACAAGTGTACCGCCCTTCGTCCTCCTTTTTTATCTCAGAAAAGAAGAGAGACAAACTCTTTCCTTGCAATGTATTATTCTTGAACCAGGTGATCTGAGGTTCAGGCCGACCCTCCACAACTTTACACATCAAGTTCACACTGTTTCCTTCTATGATGAGATTGCTTGCTCCAGAAATATCCACTTTTGGTCGAACTAAGAGGTAAATAAATAACATGTCCTTGGAAAATCGGAGGTATTCCAATATCATTTACACTGAACACGTTAAACGCCGTAACTAAATAAACATTTGAAAATGACACTAGCGCTTGATATGAAATATAATCATCTGTCAGGTCTATATACTCCTATTATCTCGGACCAGTTTACGAAAGACAGAGGGTGCAGCTATTATTGCTAATCCCCACATAGAGAGTTATAGGAGCAATCGATAACCTTATCATCCTACAATCTTGGTTCCCGAAAACGCTGATAGCTTGCTACAGCATTTGAAGAACCGAAAGCATTCCATTCACTTCACTGATGTTACAAATAGTAACAACACACTCGCCATCCGTGGCACAAGATTCCCCGTCAGTAAGGCAAAGTTTACATCAGCGGAACAGGCAGACCTATGCAAGTAATGGTTAAACGAGTAATATGGCAGATCGAGAAACGACATGCTAAGACAAAGGCCTCTGCAGTTTCCGAAGACGCCTGGAAACCACTTACTCTGGACTGAAGTAGAGTATATTGATTGTGATCCTATTATTATACACGCAGGGTAAAAGAGGCCATCCACGTAAGACTTCGCATGTTACATCATAAATTGGACATTGGGGTAGACATCCCAGAAACATGGATGCGGACCACAAGAAACACAACATAATAACTTTGCGACAGTGGACTCCGAAAGAACATTTGGTCAAAGTGTGCCAATCGAGGCCGGTGTGGGATTCTAGCCAATCACTGTCAAACAGAGTGTTTCATAAAGTCATGCATATCTACCGACCTTATAGCACGAAAACGCGATATGCAGTCAAAAAGTCGCCATCCACATCCAAAGTAACTTAATGGCGAGACAAATGATTATACTGTATTCAGAAAGTGAATTCGTCACCATGACCAACCGAAGTCGTTTTTAAGCACATTACCAGTTTGAAAAGAAACTATAACCTTCATCAAAGGGCACTTACTTTGAGTTATGACGAGGAGACTATATTGTTGATAAATAACTAAAGTATAATTTCTTTTAACATGACACCCTACTTTCAAACAACTATAATCAACGAACACATTCACGATAAAATGTCGCCTCACATGGCTGCGGATATGAACGGCAAAAAGGTTTTGAAACTGAGTAAATTAAATGCATTACATTTGAAGAACTGACTTTATGACTTTCTATATATTATCTCATTGGTCACTCACTTATAACTGACACTAGTATGTTTTTATCTTTGCTTGTGACCCTCTGTGGTCCTTTTGTTTGTTTCATGGTACAGGTGAATGTTCCATTGTCTTCAGGCTTTACAAAACCAATACGCAGGCTGCCGTTGGATACTGGAGTGAATCGTTTTGGGTCTAAGGATTTTCCTCCTTTCTTACTCCAAGAAATCTGTGGACTTGGTGCTCCATCAGCACTACAGCCTATAACGCCAGACGTGTATGCAATAAAGGTTTGTTGGTCCAACGTCTTCTCAGTAAATCTTGCTGTTGAAAGGAGTAACGAAAAGCACTAATACAATAGCTACACTTTCAAAAGGTCAGAAGTGTACTTGTCTTACATGACATTGTCCTGCATGTTAAGCCTATTTCTACAAGATAAAAATATGTGTTTTCATACCATTAATGTAGACAATGTAATATTGAACATATTCCAATCTCTGGCATTCATATATTCCTCCATCAGATAGCTGCACGTCATCAATGAACAGATCACCATTGTCTTCAGCCCTGATCCTTTCAGAAGTAGAGTTTGTTATTTCAAGCTTTCGCCTATTGATGACCCATCTAGCATGATTGGTTTTATTGTGTATAGAGCAGTGAAGCTTTTCTTTGCTACCAATATCAAAATAGAGTTCATCTCTTTTCAACACTTTCTGGTTTTCTGCAAAAAAAATAGTTCAGTTTAGAAGATTTTATCAAAATAAATCAAATTTTTTGTACTAAACACTACAAGAAGAGATAGAAAAGTTGAATATATTTGCCTGTGCTAAAGCTTAAATTGAGAAATGTTTTTAACAATGTCGTATTTTAAACTTAGTTACAATACTCCAAACAAAATACTGTTAGCCATTAGGTAACCCTTAACTGAAGTCAGGTGATCTTATGAGCAATCATATCACCTTCATGAAAGTCATGTACACCCTAGCTAACATCATTTCACCTCAAGACCAAGTTGAATCATCTATAAGGAGGGTAAGTTCTTAAAGAAACTGTGGCGTTGCGTCGGTGGGGGAGTATAACACCCGCCATGACGAAGGGCTAACGCTCGAAATTTAGCTTTGAAACTCTTTACGGGGGCAAATTTACATTATCAACTCGGTTGATAAAATCAAAATCATCTAAGTCATTTTAAGTCGACTCATGTTACCCTTAAACCAAGTCATGTCACCCTTAACCCTAACCCTCCACTTTAGAAGGTCAGTGGGAAGAAGAAAGACAATCACGAAAATCAGAATAACTAATCAGACCTAAAAATTTAGTTGCTTACTTGGTTGACACAACGCTTGAGAACCCTTGTCATCCGCTTGACATTGAGGTGGAATGTTTAACTTTCCATCGATGCGATCGCATGATGCAAGTTCAAACTCCTCTCCAGCGCAAGAGACATCGGACATTGCAAAAGGTATTCCCTCAGCCTTTATGTCTGACCCAATAAATTCCGCTAAAGCCTCTTCAAAGCCAAGTTGACGACAAATAACTTTGACATCATTAAAGTCCCATTTATTCCTACATATCTTTGCCCATTTCCCCTTGTAAAACACTTCCACTCTTCCTCCATACTCCACATTTGCGCCATTCAAGCGAACAGGAACTTAAGGAATTACAAAAATTTTAATCCATTAAGATGGAAAATACTGGTTATCAAGAATCAAGAATGCCTTTAAATCACGAAATGATAAATAGTTCATGCCAGTCTAAGTGTTTAGTTTTAAGGGAAATTCTAGGTGTAAATTAATCAGTATTCGAACGTTGGATGTATCGTTCTTTGTCCGATGTAGTTCACGACATTTACATAGTTTCCTTGCAGCGATGTTTTACGACGAACCTCTTTTACATTGCTTCGTGACTGTACTTTAAATTGTGAAACAAGATTTTTTTTAAAAAAATGTTGGAACATTCAAGACGTGTCTTCTTAGCCTAAAAGCGTTTACTTTCGGCGAACACAATAGGGTGATTTACATTTTAAATTAGAACGTCATTTTTAAAGCATTTCTCATGCAATTATCAAGAAAAAGGCATTTAGTTAAGTATAAGTAGGGTGAAAATTGTAAAATTCCTTAGTTTCACGAAAGAGAGAGAAAAAAGGAAACTAGAGGGATGTTAAAGTTTTAAGGAAACTTAGTGAAGGGTTTGGAGGTTGTGAAGTTCATGAAACCGAAATGCATAACTGCGCATTTAGGTTCTTCTTTCGGCAGCAATTCAACTGTAATCGCCCTAGGGCGTAAACAAACCCGCCAGATTTTTAGCGATACATACCTTTTTAGAACCTAAAGATACCCGAAGATGAGCAATCATTGATCTCGGGAAAGTTTTAATCACCGGAGTGTGAGTAAATCTATCAAGTTACCATCTTTGGAGATCATGCGGATATTAAATGAGTGCAATTCATTATTACCTTTGCAAATTTGTTGTTTATTTTCCAAGTTGTTTTGACATCTGGTCGGAATGGTACAGTTGTAGTCGGTGGACATCTCTGAAGCATTGCCACGTTCTGCGTACCACGTGTAATTAGCAAAGACGCCGTTGTCATAATAGCCCATGGCCATGCAGGTTGAATTTTCATCTGCTTCATCCCATTGACTGGTACAAAGCTTTTGCCAACTGCTGTTTGAGAATATCTTCATTGTACCGACAGATGGGTTCTTCTCTGTTTCAAATCGCAGGGGAAATTCTTCAAATATTAAAAAAAAACAATAGATAAATAAGGATAACAGTAAACAACGTGGACTAATTAAGCTTAGGTAAATTCTTGTGTCGATGATGTCGCCATATAATTACCTAGTAACAGTAGTCCTTGCATTACTGAAAGATTTCTTTTCAGTTTATGGTGGAAGAATTTCCTGTTTAGCTAAAATGATTTTCTTTGTTAGCTGGTCAATGCCAAAACTGAGGCCCTCGCATTGTCAAACATATTTCTTGTCAGTAGATGATAGTTAGCTTTACCGGCTTGACTAGAAAGGTATTGCTCACGGGCAACGAAAAGAAATTCGTAATCGCCATTATGCATATAGTGCAGACCTCTTACAGAGTGACCACAAATATCAGCGAAAACTTGTGCCAAGAATTTATTACCTATTGTAGTACAAATGATAATGAAGATTTGTTTTGTTTCTTTAAGGAAAAGCATGGTGAATTCCGTACAGGTATAGAGTTTGTGCATTCATGAAGGATTTCTGACTTATAATGAACTCCTGACTTTTGATAATTTGAGCATTTCATATACTTTGCCTGGATGATTATGTGATTAAAGTTAAAACTCAGAAGTTCCATTCATTTTTTCTTACTCTAACTTTTATTCCTGTATTTGTTCTTTTTTGTTTCAACAAAGAAGTTTTCATCCATTGAAATCAGAAAAGCTGCAATTTGTATGTTACCTTCTTGGCAACTGGACATGTTGCTACATTCTCTCAGCAGTGCTCCGGTCCCATCGCAGTGTTTCCCGCCATATGCTGGTTCTGGATTGGCGCATTCTCTCTGTCTGGTTTGTATACCACCAACTGGCTTGGTACAGATACTCCAGGAGTTCCACTCACTCCAGCCACCATCCACTTACAAAGTTTTAAACAAAAACATTTGATAAACTAACATAGAAGACGTGTTTGGATCATTTACCCAAATAAAGTATGTAAGACAGTGGTGCAGTCTCTATTTCTACCTTTCTCTATAATTACTTCGAATGCTCAAGTTAACATTTGGTTACGGTAAACTCATTAATTTGGTATTTGGCGCGATGCCGAAGGGTTTGCTATGAACTTATCGAGACACGCTTCTGAGAGCAAAAACATAACTCGAGAGTGGTATTGGTGAGGGCCAGTGGGTTGGGGTCCAAGCGAGCAAGATGAACGTGAAACACTGGGAAGGTGTCCGACATGGATGGGTTGACGGCTTCGTCTTGACATGGGTTCGGGATAGATCGTCTGCTAAATTCAAGAGAGAGCCTTTTCTATACACAATAGTAAAATTGTAACGCTGTAGGAAAAGCAACATCTTTTGCAGACACTTAGGTGCTAAGGCGAGGTCCTTCTTGAAGATTGACTGAAAGAGTTGGTGGTCTGTATAGACTCTGTTGGATTTTCCTAAAAGCAATTCCTCGAATGTGTTGAGGGCTTCAACAATAGCCAGGTATAGCACTCTTCGGTAGTGATTAGGCCTTTTGCAGTACGCAATGGGTCGTAGAGAAGACTCGTCAAGGGCGCTGCTACTGTGTGGTTTGATGGTTTGTAAGAGGGCAGCTCCCTGGCCATAGTCTGAGGCGTCCACTTGAAGGATCAGTGGCGCAGTTACGTCAAAGTATGCCAGGCATGCTGCACAGGTGGCTAGGGCTTTTGCTGAATCAAAGGCTTCCTGGTGCCTTGTTGACCACAGTAATGGCATGTCCTCTTTGGTGAGGTTGTAATGAAGTTGGGTGACGCTGCTAAGTTCGGAACAGAATTTGGCCAGGTAATTAATATCCCGTAGGAATCGGCGCACTGCTTGCTTTTCGGTTCGAGTGGGCATGGTGATCATAGCTTTAACTGTGACAGGGTTGGGCTGGAGGCCATCTGTAGTGGTAACATGGCTCATGAAAGTGGCTTTGCAAATAAGGAATTTCATCTTGTTGACATTTACCTTGACATGACGTTGTTCAAATCCCTCAAGCACGGCGATAAGGCTGCGGTCGTGGTCGATTCTGGCTTCCATGTTATTGACGCTGCAGCCAGGGATTAAGATGCCTGAGTAATACCGAAGCTTAGGAGGCCATCAAGCACCATACGAATTTGGCGCTGCCGTTCTTTTGATGCAGAGGATATGACTAATGGTAGCCTAGTCCATCTGTAGCAACCCCATGGTGTGAACATTGTGGTAATCAGAGATGATCTTAAGGACAAGGGGGTGATAAGCGGCTCCGTATTTTTCCCGGTTTGGTTGGGGTTGGTTTTGGCTCTCGGTTGAGATACCCTTACTAGCTGGCCAGTGGTTTCATACGCATCCAGGGCCGCTTTGATTGCATCCAGCTTTGAAATGGGTTCACATTGAATGGGGGCATGAATGGGTTTGACATCTGGATCCAAGTCGAGATCGACGAGTAGGCTGGGGAAGCCCAGACCTTGAAAGAGTGAGGTTCAGTTCTTGGAAATGAGTTCCAGAGTTCAAGTCCTTAGTGTAGGCCAGACTCGCATTGACGTATCTGGGGGTGGTAAAGGGGGCCCAGCTGCTGATTCCTGATGGCTGTCAGGTTCAGTCAGCAGTGGTTGGGGAGGGTTACTTATGGAGCATTTCCTTATGAAGTCCGCATGCATAGTCAGCACATCAAGTGCTATGCTTGCCTCTGTACTGAGTAAGGCTGGTTGGTCAGTGAAAATGACTAGGAAGGTGAGGTGACTCGTGAATTTACCTTTACTGGCTTGGGGGGTAAGTTGGCCAATGGATCTGGTTGGTGGACTGTCATAGGGTGGAATCACAGTTTTGGATGGTAGAATCTTGGCCCAGGATATGCTGGAAAAGTAGCAGGATAGAAGAGTGTTGCAAGAGGCTGCGGAATTTATTTGAAAAAGAATTTGCACTCTGCAGTTTGAGACCGGTTCCTCCAAAAGAAGCCAGGCGAAATGGCCTTTGTCAGAGGGTGGGGCCGTTGTAGGGACGCCAGTGTTAGGGGATTACTCGCTTAAGAGGGTGAAGCAGTTCTAATACTGTATGCCTTCCACGGGAAGGGTGTAGGAGTGCTCCTCTTGTTCCACCAATCTCATGTATTCCCGTCTGGGACCCGGTGGGGTAGGTGTATGGGAGGCAGGTCTAGAGGCTCCGTTCTCTTTGGCAACCTGTTGACAGAAGCCTGCAAAGTGATCAGTTTTGTGACAACATCTGCAAGTGTGGCCTGAAGCTGGGCGTATGTCGCGGTAGTGTTGCTGCATGCTGCCACATAAAAAGCAATATCTGTTAAGGAACGTTCCAGGTCTTGATCTGCCCAGAGGTTTTTTGACCAATTCGTGCGCTGTCGTGGAAGTGGGAGAGTGAACTTGTTCTTCTGTGGTAGAATTAGCCAAAAGCTTGTTTGTATGTTGTGCCGCCTCAATATAACTTGACTCACCACGAACGCCGGGGTGAAAGGGGGATCCTCCGGTTTCCGTTGGCCATCTCTGTAAAATACATCTTCTCGGAAGCGACTGAAGGATTCATTGAGACCGAAGAGAAACTTACCCCTCATAAATTCTTGCGCGTTTACGCCAAACGATCATCGCCCGACGGCAGTACGTATAACGGTTTCTTACGTTGAAATGGAGGTTTGGTAGCGGTCTTGCATCAAACTACATGCACCAGCGTAATTTTCTTTGATTTTTTGAAGCCAAACTCAGTGTTTTCCAGCATCATCGTTCGATATCTTAGAAGTGATTTCGATGTGCAAGGTGTCCCATTCAGTTGAAGGAATTGCTAACTCGAAGGGTCTCTTAGCGACGATGTAATGGTCCTCAATCTCGGTGATTCTGCTTTTAGCGGGGTTTCTGTAACCTTCGAGTAAACATTAATCATGAAATCTGGTCTCCCAGTGACGGTTATTGTCACGGTCTGGTCGCACGGCTTGTACATCGAGGATAGACTTTCCGTGCTTCGGCATAGTGCAATTGTGAAATGTTGGTGAAGGTTTGAGATGTTGCCGAAGAAGCTATTCAATGGTGCAGTTGTGTCTACGAGAAGCTGGCTCGCTGTAAAAAACGGTCCTGACACCATGTTAAGCAGTATACTTTTCTAGATTGAGGAAGAATAAGCACATGCGCAGCCATGATGAACTAATTTATTCACACCCCAAGCACGCGTTGATACGGGAACTTTTGAATGTGGTGTAATTATGCGCGAGTAATGAAACGGTAACATGACATATTCTCTGACTCTAAAAAAAAGCATAGGACACAAAGGGCGTAGACACACTTTAAAATATAGGCTTTGAGCCAAACAAAAGGAGACAAATGAAACATTCCTAACATATCTCTCAAATTCATCCCAACACCCGTGACAAACGAATGTAAAATTAGACAACAACTCTTGCAAGATTTTGAATAATTTGCAATTTGCAAGACGAGTGCACCTCCAAAACATCTTTCACGGATAAAACAAAGAAGCACATCCGTTTCATATTAAATCCAACTGGATACCACCGGTTCAGCCTTCTATTGCCCATGAGAGCGACTAAGAAAATGTCAAAACACAACTTGCAGAGATTACTGTAACTAAGCCAAAAAATAAATTGTCACGCAATGAGGTTATGGCTTTAAAAGAGTTGAGAAACAATTCTGTTTTAAACCTCAAAAAAGCAAACAAAGGTACAACAGTCATCATGAATACAACTACAACTACAACCTTTCAGAGCGCCGATGGTGAAAAACACGCAGAAAAGGGTTAGTGAGATCATTGACCGAATGCGTCGGGGCAGACACATCGATGACATGACGAACAAATGGCTTTCACAAACTCCTAATCCGCTTAGAATACCAGTATTCTATAAGCTCACGATAATACACATGCCTATACTGGTCGGTAGACCTTTAATCTCAGGATGCGACGGCCCCATCGAAAAAAAATCATCTTTTGTGTAGACACTGCCCCAGACTATAGCGCAATTGCAACAATCCTATATGAAGGATGCCACTTTTCTCAATTTCATAGAAAAAACAAAGGTAGGCAAAGATACTATTCTAGTGTCAATGAACGTTTCTAGCTTGTACACAAATATACCTCAAGAAGAAGGAACGAATATTCTATGTGAAGCATACGAAAAGCTCAACGACCATAACGCACCGATCCCAACGCATTACCTCAGGGAAATGCTTGGCTTAATCTTTCAAAGAAAATTTGTTTTAATTCAATGAGGAGAACTTCCCTGGCCCAAACGAAAATGGGCAATGTCATTTGCCAATATTTCCATGGCGAAAATTGAAACGAAATCAATCCAACAATGCGAAACCAGGCCAAGAGAATGGAAACATTACATTGATGACGTTTTTTCCCTTTGAGATTGAAACAGGGAAGAACGAGATTAAAAAACGAAATTAAACGAGCTAACTATTTCCACCCTGCAATCAAATTCACGGCCGAAATATCAGAGAACAAAACCGCCTTCCTCGATACCACAGTGTTTAAAGGAGAGAGATTCGCAAAAAATCCAACTTGGACATCAAAACCCATTACAAGCCGACCGAGACCTTTCAATTTACGCACTTCACCACATGCCACCCACCGGGCGTAAAACATAGTTTCATTGAAGGCCAAGCAATCAGATTGCTTAGAACAAATGTGCTCTCCGAAAGAAGTATCAGAAGAGTACCTTTTAAAATTCAAACAAAGCTTCAAAGCAAGAGGGTACCTAGAAAACATCATAGAAATGTCTCTGTGAAGGTCAACTTTGCTTCTAGGCAATCGGCTCTTACGTATACACAAAAGCCAAAAGGTTACAACGTACCGCTCGGCATTTAAAAATTTAAAACGAATATCGATGGAACATAGGATTCAGCCCTTGCTGGAAGCTATCTTTAAAAATCCTCTGATCATCTTGTACAGAAAGGGAAAATCACGTTCGTGAGAGCAAAAATATAATTTTAAGGCTATAGTGCGACGCGACAACAAAAGCCATATGGGGAGTCCGTGCTCGACAACAAAAGCCATATGGGGAGTCCGTGCTCGACAACAAAAGTCACATGGGGAGTCCGTGCTCGACAACAAAAGTCACATGGGGAGTCCGTGCTAGTCTGTTCTCACCTTTATTCTCGGGCTTAAAAAACCTCGAGTGACATGATTTGGGCGCTGCTCAGTAATTAAAATAAAAATTTCAGCATAAATATGAGACCCAACGTTAAAATGAGAAAACAAAGTAGGCGTTATAGCTCTGCAGGAAGTCATGAATCTCAAGTGGAAACCTCGGAAAACATTTGAAATGGTTTTCCATTGGCTCATACAGTGAAAGTATGAGCAAATTCCTGTTAGGATGCAGCGAAAGCGAAATATAAAGCTTAAAACGGCGCAACCAGTTAGTCAAACTAAATTTTATAAATAGAAAACTTGATAAATGTTAAGAAAATAAATTTTTTAGTTTTTATCGCGGCATTCAAAGCGTCCTCCTCTATTCCATTAAGCAAAGGGCTTTCGATAACTTAAAATCTGGGATATCGTTTAGTATGGCGTTGTTTCGCAGGGCAGGAAAATTTTTCAGTTTTCTATGGTTTTACCGGGATAATAGTCGATAGTGTTTTGACCAATCAGAATCTACGTTTTCTCTAAGTTCTGTCATTATGTTTAATTTACCGGTTAATCTAAACTCGTTTTTTAAATGTCATCAAAGCATCATTAAAATATTTTTTATCCTTAATCAACTTTCTCTTTTATGTGGTTTGAACTCGTAGATCTGGTTTGCAATATTAGAATCGTCTTCACCTTTGAATTTTTGTAGTAACGAAATTGAACATTTGTTCAAATCATGAACCATAACTCTTTTTCCTTTATATGAATAAGAACTGTACCTCCTTTCACTTCAATCCAAAAGGTTGATTTCTTGCTTCCAGTGGGGTTTTTAGCGCTACATGTGTATTCGCCAGAGTCTTCAAACCTCGCTTGACGAATCGTGAGAGTGTTCTTTTTGCCAAGATGTATCCCATCCCTAGTCCAGTGTATCTCAGGTGTAGGGAAACCGCTTAGAGAGCAATTGAACTGAAGAGGCGAATTGTATGTAACCGACTGATTGATGAGCTGAGGATTAATTTCAGGAGGACCTGGCCATGGAATTAAGAAGCACAATTCAAAAAAGGTGAAATAAGAGGAAAAAAACAACAGACAATGAAAAGAGTAACTGGAAGAGAAAAAGTAAAATTAACATTTACCTGTAACTGTAACCTGAAAAGCTGCTTCACTTTTCCCTTCACTGTTCTTGGCACTGCATGTATATTGACTAGCGTCTCCATAAGTCACTTGTTTAATGGTGAGCTTGTTCGCGGCATTAAGTAGCTTTCCATCTCTTGTCCAATTCACCTCTGGTTGAGGAAAACCCCTCACAAGACAATCCACTTGAAGGGTTGAATTAAGTTTGACAGACTTCTCTCGCCGAGAATTAATTTCAGGAGGACCTTTATTTTTGAAAAGGAAAGTAATGATTAATGCATAACTAATGCCCCATTCCCTCCCTTTTCCTTTCTTTTAACCGTCGCTCACCCCCTTCGTAAAAGTTTCTTCTCATCCCCAACTCCCTAATGTTGTAAAAATAAAAAAATGGCAGCGATAAGAAAATACTAAGAGCACTAAGCATTCGCTCGCCAAAATCGCGCCTACTGTGCAGCAGGCACAATGGTGGTCTTTTCGTTTTACGACTAAACAAAATTTCCTTCGTTTTGCGAGAGAAAATATAAATATAGCATCTAATCGGAAATAATAAAACTCCGGCAAAAAAAGTGTTCTTTTGAAGAGTGAGGTATTTAATAAAAGGACAGTTGAGGAACATTTTACAATTTCTAAAACAGGAAATTAGTTCAGTCTTTTACTTTATCCTCATGGATGAAACCACTTACATTTACAAGGCCGTGATTCCCGAGTTCTGGAACAGTTGAATTCTAGAAGTAAGGTTATTTATATAATTTTTTAAAAGTTATGATGATGGGGCCTAAGTCAGCTTTTTTTTTAATACAGAGAAACCACTTATTTAGGAGAAGTACTGAACTTTCCGCCAAATTGTCCACCTAGGGAATAGAGAAACTGACAAACAATGAATTTTTTCAATGCAACTTAAACCTACATGTTTGCTTATCAATCCATTGCCCAAGGCGTAATGCCCATGACTTTAAATGCAGTCTATTTTGCCATCAATACCCAAGAATTCATCCATTTCAATAAAAGCGTATTAATGTGCATGCAGTCTCTTGAAACTGTAAAACAATAGTGAAAACCTACAAACAAAACGCCTTTGAGTTACAAATACTGAAATTTTCGTCTTGTCACTTACCGACTCTCTGCCTGTACTGGCCGCACTCTTTGCAGCCTCCATTCCACGATGACCAGGCCATGCAACCTTTGAAAATGATACGTTGTGAGAAAAGAGTCATATGTGGAATCGCTTCCTTGTTTCATAAATCTGAAGCTTGCCATAAAGGATACTAAAATAAATACTTATTTTCGTTGATAACGTGAGTTCCTAAGGTCCAAGGAGGCTTCAAACTATAGCCTTCAAATTTAAAATTTCCCGATCTCGCCTCATTCGTGTGCTCCCAACATCATGCAGGAATTTTTCATTTAACCCGGGAAAATGCCAATTTTTTCTATTTCTCAAATAGATGGCTGTGCAAAAATATTTAAAAAAAACAAACTAGGATTTCAATATCGTCAGCTTTGAATTCTTAACTTTTGCTGTCAAAACTCCACCAGAAGATGGCTGAGGTCTGAGACACTGGAATTTAATCCTTGTAAAATTAAAAGTTTGTTTCTATGCTGGCCTATGCATACTGATATACTGATCCATAAAGAAACACTCTATCTTTCCCCAATTTTTCTGTTGGGAACTATTCGTTTGATCAACCATTTTTATTATGCCTGCTGATAAATAACAGTTAAAACATGCCTACTTACAATCTGTTAATAGTTAGGATGAGGATGTAAGGCGAACATGAAAAGAAAGTTTGCACATTTAATGAGTAAATAAACAGCTTAACCATGTATACACACCACAGGCTACACACACCATACTCGTCAAACATGTAATCAACTGAATATGCACTCACTCGCTTATAAATCCGGAAAAGATACCATGAAAGGGAAAAATAATTCAAACAAAGACATTTATTAATCTAATCATTTACTTATTTATTTTGAACTTAGCGCTTTGTTCGCTACGTTAATGCCCTCTGTTAAAGTAAATTATCAGATAACAGGTTTTGTAAATCAAACAGACAATGGGCTCCAACCAACATCAATGATATCTAATGATGATCACGCAAACGTCTTTCATTATAGGACCTTGGTATTGGCAGGCAGACATCAATTACTGTCATTACATATTATGCTAACACAGCTACCCACAAAACTAACATCGTTTTCAATGAAAATATTTAAATAGTATCAGCGATCGCTAACGGTCATTGATATACACCTGTGGATTCCCTACCTCATAATTAGATTACCACTTGTTGAGTTTATATTGACACACTGGAGTATACTTTAGTTACAGGAACGAACGATATTGATAGTTACCTTCAGGTTTTGCTAGGCAAAAAGGACGAGATAAATAAAGATGTGCAGTTAATGATACAAATGGCATAGCCCAATTGCAGTGCCACAACTAAATTCCTAACTCGCTTCGTAGAAAGAATCGGTTTCCAGTAATCTATTTTCTCATTTGAGGAGAGTATTAGCGTCTATTTCCCAGAGCAGGATCCGACATAAGACAATGTCTCCAAAAGATAAACGTTAAATTTTGTCAAGGAAAGGGTGCATTTCTTAATTCAGTTTTAAATTGAAAAAGTATTCTCTTTTGGTAAGTAAACGTTGGCGAAGCTAAATTTGTTTTGATTTTGTCCCGGAAAATGTAGGAAATGATCCTTTTCAAATCTCCAGACAGAGACTACGTCTATAAACTTTGCTCCTTTTTTCGGTTTATCAATATGGTATAAGGGAAATACACTACGTATATATGTATGTTGTAGCTATTTCTACAACCAAACGAGGAAACTTACCCGCTAAGTTTTCAGCATTGAAGAGAAAGAGAAATAAGTGATTTTAGTTACATGTGTGGGATAACCAACAAACTTTAAAATAAGCGGGTCAAGAGAACGGAAAATGAGGCGAAAATACACATTCAATAATCTCAAAACTATAAGCAATATATAATTTACAATTCCCATGGGTATTACCGGCTCCTTTGTGTTTGGATGTTTATTCATATCACAGCTAACCACAAGCCACGAGTCTAGTTTATCCGATACATGGCCAAATAATGTCCAGCAACTTAACCCATAAAGCAAGGAGTTTATTTGAACACCAGTGAATGGACGATCCCGGAACACATGCTCTTTCGACGTAACAATTGTCTGTTAAAGTCTATTTAACAAATAGAGAAGCCTTGACTGTGCTCTGTTCTGTTATAAAGCACGAAGGAAGCGGCTAGAGCACGTCTCGTGTTTCTCCCCACTTCTTGAGTGCTCTAGCCGCTTCCTAAGTGCTTTATAACAGAACAGAGCACAGTCAAGGCTTCTCTATTTGTTTTATAATAAAGAATCCGTCAAATTCCCCATGCATTACTTTCAACTTTCAAAACAAACTTTATTTCCAAAGCGAACAACAATGTCGTCAGCATGCTCTATACTCTCATAGAGCACGCTACAATAAGCCAATCAGAATCCCTGCTAGAATGGTTCAAATAATCTGATTGGCTCTACAAGACAAAAGCTGTCAAAAGTGTCAAACCATCAAAGTTCAAAAACCATCAAAGTTCACAATCTGCGATAGTTTACAAACTAAAATAGTTCGGCAGGTCGATTTTAACGCTTTTGCCTGAAGTTTTTAATACAGAATCTTCAAGTGAAATGTTCACTGAACTTCAGCCGAATTATGGCTCATAAAAAACACGCGAGTTTTTTCACATGACAAGGTAGAAAACAAACTGTTCAAGGCGAGTGTTTTTAAATGAACGTCAGCCGAATTCACCAGAACATGAAGATCGCTCGGGATGACAGCGCCGCAAAACTCGGCTGCAGTGACTGAAGTGACTTTCTACTCAACGTATCGGAAAGGATATCAGAGCGAGCTCTTATTTTTTCACTCGAAGGCCGGCCGATGTAGTTTCTGAGGCTTGCTTTACTGTAATGACCGGAGATCGCCATGCTAAGCCAGCCGCGATGGACTTCAGCATGATCATATTTGCTCAGACACCGTCATGATTAGTATGAATTTTAACAGTTATGTCAGTTTGATTATATTTTTCATAATTTCTGTTTTGTTCTGTTTTGTTTTTTAACTCTGAACTTTATATACTATACGAGTGTTAGCTGTGTTTGATTTTTATTACCGTTCGTAAGCTTGCAATCTCACCGAGCGTGAAAATCTTTAAAACTCGGAATGTCTATTTTATTTTTCCTTTGAGGATTTTCGTATCTGCATACTCACGTTTTAATAATGTAAATTACGGCGCCTGATATGTTTACAAACCTTTGTTTGGTTCTTCTGTTGCTAAATGCCGGCTCGCTTGTTCTGAAATTTCACTTCAATTATCGGAAAAAAGCTAAAAAGAAGTCCCGGAACATAGTACAATTTGGCAGATGGCGTGACAGCTTTAGCTCAGTTCTATGCTCTATACTCTCATAGAGCACGCTCTTTCAACCAATGACAGCGCGCATTACATCCGAACTTTATTATAATAACATATCAAGACATAAACTAGGAATAAATTATCCTTACAGATTAAAATATAAATTTGTACTTACGTCCTAATCGTTTTCGTCAAATACCAAGGCCAAGGAGTGAAATGAAAAAAGTCAACAGAAAAACAAGTGAATTAAATTAGTTCAGTAACGAGTGGGTTTATATCCATTAGTAAGTCGTCCAGAACTTCTGATCAACAGTTTGGTTTAGTGCAAAAACATTCATCTAATCATGACCTTAACTCTTAGTTTCAAAGCGATGAAATCTCAATTTTGTGTTCTACTACACATACCATTAAAGCTTTAACCAAATTGAACAACGGGATCATACAGGATCTTTTATTGCTTAACTTCCACCTTGAATACTAATCTTTATTAGAGCCCAGTTAAAGACAACGTAATTCAATTTCCAATCATAGGTTCGGAAGCAAAACGAAAAACATGTATATATGTATAAAGGACATGTATATTTGTAATTATGATTTCACATTCATATATTTATTCTTAATAATGATAGTAAAAAAAAATGCAATTTAAACTATTGCCAAGACTAAATAACGTTGTGCTACATGATTTTTATTGCTGTTGTAGGCAGGCAAATGACAACTGAAACCCTCCAAATTACTATAAAAAAATCATACTTACGA